TCCCCAATTTAAAGGCCCAATCCAAAAATGGGCATCTGAAATGAACAGACATTTCTCACACAAAGAAGTAGAAATGGCAAATAAACATATGAAAACATGTTCAACATCACTGGTCATTCAAGAGATGCACATGAAAACAACATTGAGATTCCACCTCACTCCAGAAAGAATGGCTGCTATCAAGAAATCAGCCAATAACAAATGCTGGTGGGTTTTGGGGGGTTTTTTCCATTGTTGGTGGGAGTGCTGACTGGTGTAACCACTGTGGAAATCAGTATGGAGATACCTCAAAGAACTTGGGCTAGAGGTCCCATTTGACCCAGCTATTCCCCTGCTGGGTATCTTCCCAAAAGAACTTAAAGAATCATACCACAGTGATATATATTCCCCCATGTTTATAGTGGCACAGTTTGTAATAGCTAAGACTTGGAAACAGCCCAAGTTCCCATCGACTGGAAACTGGATAAAGAAGATGTGGTTTTTTCATAAAATGGAGTACTACTCAGCCATAAAGAATGAGAAACTAGAGACATTTATAGCTAAATGGAAGCATATTGAGGCCATGCTCTTAAGTGAAATGAATAGGATACACACGTGTACACAACGAATAGTTTCTCTAATGTGAGAAACTGAAAGTGTAAATAAGGATGAAAATGATTAAAATGAATAATTGATAATTTGAAATAGGAAGAAAAGGTCCAAAGGGGTAGGGGAAGTGGAAGGCGTAGGGGAAAGGAAAGAAGGGAAAGGAAAAATTATGAGAAAAGGAAAAAAATGGAAACAAAGTCTACATAAATAGAGAAGGATAGAGGAGGTGAATGGTGCACAGGTAATGGGGAAAAATAAGAACCAAGATACATCATGTACAGGTACAAGCACCCAATGACAAATGTAAACATATTGTATACCTAAAATGTACCAATGAAAGAACTTAAGCAAAAAAAATATGGGAGTATGAGAGAAAGAGAGGGGTTAAAGAGGGCACCAAAGTTTTTAAGCTTAAGCAGCTTAGTGGAGTTGCTGTCACTGTGAAAGGAGCAGCCTGGAGAGGGAAGAAGGAAGATGAAGAGCTTGTTTCCCTGTGTTCTATTCACAGTGCCCATTAGACACTACATGGAGATGTCAATGAGCAAATCATATATTCCAACCTGGAGCTGATGGGAGGTCTGGGCTGGAGATATAAGCTTGGTGGTCACTGGTATGTGGATGGTGTTTAGAGCCATGGGACTGACCTCGAGATCACCTCTGGGGAGGGTACAGAGATAAGAGAAGGCACCTGATGGCTGGAGCCTGGGGCTTAATGTAGATGTGCTGTCTCAAAGTTGGAAGCAACTCCATGAAAACTGGAGGTGTCAGTTTGGGTCTAGTTGGGAAGAGGACAGCGCCATATAGCAACTTGAATGTTAGGGATTGACACTTAATATAGTAATGTGAGGGATTGGCTCATGAGAAGTAAATAGAACTCTAAAAAATATACCAATGGCAGATGTAAGAACAGCTACTACTCCTAGTGCTGTGGTGGAAGACCTCAGGGAAAGACAAGCTGGCAGCTAGATCTCATGGGATAGAGCACAGCCTCTCTTATCAGATGCCAGAGTAGCAGAACCTGTTGGAAATTGTCCACCCAGAATATACCAGAAATCAACCTTCTTAGGTACTGGGGAAAGATTTTCACAAAGAGGTGTCTAGAAACACTTGACTTTGCAATTGCCAAGAGCAGTGCTGGCTGGCTGTGGCCAGATGCTACACAACACTGCTGTGATTCGGGAACCTGACACTAGACAGACCAAACCGGACTTCCCAAGGGAGCCCCTGCCTCCCACTGATTACAGCTAAAAGTGCTAGATAAAATTCAACTGCAGCTACTTGAGGATTTTGAAAAGTAAACAAATGCAGGCAGATCAGTGTCTCTCCGACGCCTACTGACAAAAAGCTTACCACTGTACCAGCTGGCAAAAGAAATGATTTTAGGGGATCAGATCCATTTTCACAGAGAAGGCAGCTGAGGGTGAATTTGGAGCTCAGGCAATGAACTGATCACTGGCATGGGGTAGATGCAGGTCTGGCCAAGAGAGGCACTGAGGCTGCCCCGAGAGGTGTGTGTGGCCTTGCACATGGGAATAAACTGGGAAGTCAAGAGCTCCCAGAAGCAGGAGGGCAGATGGCTGCTGCATCCAGGGCCAGGCTGGCCTGCAGCTGTGCACAGGGTGCCTCTACCTCTTCAGGGTGCTGCCTGGGGCCCGGGTGAGGCAGAACACACGAGGATGAGATAGTTTCCTGGTCTCTGAGAAGGCCAGCCCTGTGGAGGCTGCAATACGCAGTTTCTGCCATATGTCTGTGTGTCCTAATGCACCTGTGTCCATGTGACTGGCCCTGACCTGGCTTGGCCAGTCCCCACTTGGGCTGTGTCTTGCCCTCTGATATGATCATACTCAACTCTAGGCAAGTCCCCAAACTTGCTATGTCTTCTATAACCTCTTGGTTTTTAGACATGTCATGGCCTCTGCTTGGAACACTTCTTCCTTCTTCATATGACTGATTCATCATCTTTCACATCTCTGCTAAGACAGCACATCCTTTAGGAAGCTTTTAATGATGACCTGAGTCTGCATTGGGTCTCTCTGTGCACTATTCTTAACAGAGCATTTTGCATATCAAGACCTAAGCGCTTGTGTACCCGTCTGCCTATCAGACTGGATTAGAAGCTCTTTGCAGGACAAGGATTGAGTCATGTTCCCAGCTATTTTCCCAGCATCACGGCTAACATGTAGTAGGTACTTATCAAGTGTTTGTTGAGTGAATGAACAAAAGATGACAGGCTGGAAGTAGGGTACATAGATGGGGTGGCAGAGGGTGGAGGTATATGGGAAGATCATATAAGGCTTGAATGCCATGTTAAAGGATTTGGGCTACTTCTGGGAGACAATGGGGAGCCACTGAGGGATATAAGCAGAAGGGAGCCATAATTAACTTTCCATGTGAGAAAGAGCTCTCTGGCAGTGCATGACAAATGAGTTGGATGGGGACAGAAAGTCCAGGAGGTCTCTTCAGTGGTCTCTCAGGGCCAGGCATGGGGTGGGACTCTGGAATAGGTGGCAGAGTTCACCCTGGTCAGGAGAGGGCACTCTGAGGTGTAAGGTAATGCCGGGAGAAAGGCAGGCCCTTCGCCACCTGTTTGCAGAGACTTGCTCCACGTCTCCCCAAATTGTGGAATTGTGAGCCCCTCCCAGGACACCAGCCTCTGCCCTTGCTTGGCAAGTCCTCAGTAGGGTGAGATGGTGGCCTCACCATCCCCAGGGTGATCCGGAAGGAGAGGTCACAGTCCTCGGAAAGTTAGCTCGGCAAGTTTATTGAAAACCCAGGAACAGGAAGAGCACTACAAACGGGCACCCACCCACCCCAGGCCCCCTGGAAATGGCAGACACAAACTCTGCAGCAGCGACAGGGCAGAGTGATGCAGTGCTGTGGCCCAACTCTCCGCCCACTTTGGGATGTGCTGCCAGAAAAGGGAAACCAACAATGCAGGAAGCAAGACGGCAACATGCAAGGTCTGGGAGAAGAACCACTGCAGAGGACCTAGGGGTCCCTGGGCCTGCAAGGACTGTGGGTCCATCCTTCAGGGCCAGGAAGAAAAGGAAAGAATGGTCTCCCACCAGGGAAAGAAAGAGAAAGGAGCTAGAGGCCTTGGGCCAAGGATGTGTCTTGTCTGCAGGGCATTCTCCCCATTACTCCAAAACCAAGGTGGCTGTGGTGTCTGAACACACACATTGTGGCTTAGAATGGTTCCTTTTCTCCCCAGGTGCACTGCTTTCTGTGGATGCACTGACTTGGCTTATCCAGAGGCTGTGGCTGGAGGGTGAGCAGTGATCCCAGTGAAGGAAATTTGGAGTCAGGAAGAAGCCAGTCTGGCTCTGGCTGTAGTTAGTTAGAGCATCTACTGGGTGAAAAATCCTCCAGAAAGACCTGGCCCAGGCACAGGAGTGTCTGGGGAAAGCATTGGAGAGCAATCTGGCAGGAGGGCTGGCTAGAAACCTTTCAGGCCCAAAGCCCAGAGGCGTCAGGGGACAGAAGCAGGGGACATTCAGCTGGTTCTTCTCTGGGCAGCGGCCATCTGGGCTTGGCTCTCAGTGCCGGGTCCGGCAGGTGGTGGTGGTGGACGAGAAGCGGATGCTAGAGCTGCGGCTGCCCCGGCCACCGCTGCAGCTGCTGAAGCCACCCTCGGTGGGCAGCGGGCGGGGGACACTGGGAACACAGGCCTCATCCACAATCACGGAGCCACCTCGGGCTCCACCCAGGCTCGAGCTGCCAGAAGTCAGGACCCCTCTGCTGGTGTGGATGCTGCTGCCACCACCCGAGAAGGTGACACCACGGGAGAGGGTGGAGCTGGAGAACAATGGCTCAGGCCCACACACCACACCTCCCCGGGAGCTGCTCACAGCTGCAGAGAAGACACCATTAGGGAGTCAATGTCCCCTTTTCTTTCTCCTATCTGGATGGCCCAAAGACTATAACTACACTAAAACCAAATACCCAGATTCAGTTGGAGGAGTTTGGCCCATTCCCCTGATGTTTGCATACGTCCATAACTTGACTGTCATTTATCTATGACCCAAGTGGGTTGGGTTATAGGAGGCAAGTGGTGGGTTGATTGTGCAGGTCGCTGGAGCAGTAGCCTCCATAAAGGCATGTGAATTTATTTTCCATTATATTGTGCTCCCTGTTTCTCCTGGACCAGCACACAAGAAACCCTGCCAACAGAAGTCCCTTGTTAGCTCTCTCCTGACCTGCTGGTGGCTCTGCTGTGTTGACCAGTGTGTTAGCAGAGTGGAACCCAACTATCCCTTGCTCAGACAAGCTCCCACCAGCATGCCGCACACTCTTTTTTCTGCCCTCTCCTCTCACTGGAGTCCTTCTTGCCACTGTGATCTCTGCTTGATTTTGATCTCCTGTAGAAGGCCATCGCTTGCTGCCATTTCCCCTCCCCCATGTGCCTCTCCTCTGGGCTCGGGGAGCTCTGACCATCTGACTCACTCATGAGTTCCACCACACACATGGGCACATTTGTGTTTTGGGGAGCAGAGATCTGGATTTGGGTTCTGGCTAATTTTATGACTTCTAGCACATCGTATCTTTGCTCTGGTGTGCCAATGTCTGCTCTTCCTCTTCTAGGATTAGGGAGGTGGTGACTAAACTCACTTCTCAAGAAGATAGAAATCCTAGAGAGCAGAGGCTGGATTTGCTCCACCCTGCGGTGCCCAGCACAGTGTCCTGCATACTTTGGACACAACCAGTACTTTGACAATCTGACAGCAGGAGGAGGAATGTCTATTTAACCTTGTCCCATCACTGCCATCAAGGGGTGAGAGACCTCCTTGGCACAGCTCTTTCACTCTAAGCCACTGAGGTGGTTCCCTTGAAGAATGAGGGTACTCAGAGCAAAAAGGCTGATTCTCTTCTGGGGCTCTGTCTTACCTTGAAGGTGTTGGGATGCCTTTGCTCTGGGGAGTTCTCAGACTTCAGCTCCCAGGGGACAGATGGTCCCTGCACCCCTGACCACCATCTTGGAAGACCCCTGATCCCAATATAAATTTACAGGAAAATGGAAGGACAGAGAAATGTAAAGAGGAAAAGACTTAAGTTACTCACATATGTTTACTGGTCCAACACCTTCGCAGATCCTGGAGGGAGAAAGAAATGAATCAGTTCATGGGTATTGTTTCCCCAAATCTGCTTGCTTAAAAAAGGCTTTCTTATCTGCGTGGACCAGTGGACCAGCAGTTCTCAGCCCTGGCTATACACATGGGGGCTTTGAAAAATGACCCATTCTTAGAGCTCATCCCCAAATTATGGATTAAAATACTTGAGGGCTGCCAGGTGTAATTAATCCCAGCTACCTAGAAGGCTGAGCAGAAAGATCACAAGTTCAAGGCCAGCCCGGGCAATTTAGCAAGGCTTTTTCTTAAAATTTAAAAAAGGGTTGGGATTTTAGCTGAGAGGTAGAGAACTTGCCTAGAATGCGTTCCACAAAAATTTGAGGAAGTGTATTATTACTGTTACTGTTTTTAACAAATTGACTAAGCAAGCAAAACTCCCTATGAGCTCTTACAGCTTGCCTTTGAGAACAACAGATCTGGAACGGCCTTCCAAACCTCTGACAAGGGCAACTGACTAACACTTGCAGAAATTGTGTTGTTATCTGTACAGATTGCTCATTTCAGCCCTTCTTCACCTAGACCCCCTCCTTTTATGTGGTAAACCTTTCTAGATGCCCATGCCTGACCTCATTCCCTCCTGTTGCACCAGAAGCCTTTACCGGATCTCCTCGCCCTCCAGCAGTCGCCTATAGGTGGCGATCTCGATATCCAGGCCCAGCTTGGCGTTCATGAGCTCCTGGTACTCCCGTAATTGCCGTGCCATGTCCTGCTTGGCTTGCTGCAGGGCACCCTCCAGGTCTGCCAGCTTGCACTTGGCGTCGTTGAGGGCCACCTCGCCCTGCTGCTCAGCCTCAGCCACGGCAGCCTCCAGCTTGGCTCGCTGCAGAGAGGATAGTTCGCAAGTGGGCTTTCTCTCCAGGCCAGGGACCATGGGAGGTAGGGACAGTGGGCAGATACTGGTTTAGAAATGCTGCTCTGAGTTGATGGGATATAGCCTTGTCCTGAGCCAGGTTTGGAACCTCTGGTGGCTGCTTAGTTCCCATCCACACTGACTTTGCCCTTGTTGATTTCTGCTACCCTGACACCCATGGGGTCCAGAGAGTCACTCATTCTTTCTCCCTTCCCTCACCATTTTGGTAGCCACAGGTCTTTCCTTCTATATGGGAGGCTTTCCTTTTGTTTCATATTTTCTTCCTCCAGGAAGCTTTCCTAGACAAATCTTTCATTCCTTTGTTTCTAAATCTTGATGGGTCCCTTACTTCATCAGAACAGGGCTCCCCAAAGCTAAGGGCCCTGCCTGTCTTCTCTCTGTGACTTTTTCTCACTTTTTGCCTACCTGAGCTTTGGCGTGCTCAATCTCTCCCTTCAGCCTCTGAATCAGCCGAGTCAGCCCATTGATTTCATCCCGCGTGTTACGTAAGTTGTCACAATGCTGGCCCGCGGTCACCCGCATCTCCTCATACTAGGGAGAAGGAGGTGTTTTGAGGATTCAAAGTCAGATCAAGACTACAGCCACCTCCAGAGTTGGAGTCTCAGACTCCCTCAGGGTCCACCCTGTTGCATATGAGTTGCCCCAAACCCAGGTCATCCCGCTCCCTTTCACCAGCTTCTTTGTGCCCACCTTGGTCTGGTACCAGGCCTCAGCTTCAGCACGGCTGCGCCTGGCCACCTCCTCATACTGCGCCTTGACCTCAGCAATGATCCCATCCAGGTTCAGGTCTCGGCTGTTGTCCATCTTCACAATGACTGATGTTTCTGAGATGTGTGATTGCAGCAATTGGATTTCCTATGTTGGAAGAGCAGCAAGACAGATGGGGTCAGAGTCCCCTGTGTTTGGGACTCTGCCACAGGGTCCCCAGGCTGTGTGTCAGGGAAGGAAGTATCACTTACTGTTTTAGGACAAAGCAAGATCCTCCAAACTAAGGGCAAGGAAAAATCCAGGTTTGAGGATTATTTCAGTTAGGATCTTTGCTGTAAGCTTGGAGATGTCCCCACTACACCCTACATTGCTAGGTGAATGCTAAGACCAGGGGAGCCTAGGAACTTGGTGGAGGGAGAGGGAACCATGCTAAGGCTTAAACTTTTCTCTGGCTTATCCATAAAATTGCCCCCCCCCCGTTTATGGTGCATTGAGCAGAGACTATATTTTAGAACACAGCAGTCTAGGAATTTCTATATCCCAAGTCCCACATAGAACTGGGGGACTGGAGCTGGCTGGCAGGGAAGGTTTCAGCCTCTTCACTTGGAGCTAGAAACTCAGTTCAGGTTGAGTCTACTCCAGACCAAACAGATCACATGTGAAGCAAAGGATAGCTAGTTGGTTTGGCAAATTAGATCAAACACAATCTTTCTTACATTTCCTGGTAAGTCAGTTTTCTAGACTCATCTGGCCAGTAGATAGGAAGTGATATCTTTAAACCCCAGTCTTTAGATTAGCCAATGAAGATTCGGATCACAGATACAGGGATCATTCATAGGCCTGAGCCAGGCTCTGAAAGGCTGGCCTCCCTCGCATTCTCCACTTGCAGATACAAAACATAGAGAACAAAGATGTTTGATACCAGAGTTGAAAATGTGTCAGCTCAGACTAAGCCCTCACAGGGTCGAGGCCCAGCACTGACTTCCTTGGATGGCTTTGAGAAGAAACCTCACCTCCAAGTACAAGGCTTTCAGGAAGTCAATTTCCTGAGTTAGCATATCCACGTTGGCTTCCAGATCAGATTTATTCAAGAAAGCTGTATCTACATCCTGCATAAAGAGAGAAGGATAAGATACTCATTACTTATGCTCCATTTACCTTTCCCACCTAGCCAGCACCTGCAGATGGATGGGAAGAGCCTCCTGTTCCACAGGGCCAACTCCTGCAAGCTTTTGGGATGGGTGGAAGTGAAGTTTAGTGACTATCACTCTTCCCCTTACTGCAATGTGAAAACCCCCAGTGGCTACTGGATATTCTTCAATGCTTATTTAAAGGCAAGAAAATCTGGATAATTCATGACACTTCATTAAAAGTTCATCTTTTCAGATGAACTCTCATGTCACCCAGTCCTAAATAATCTGAGGCCAAATCAGAACTTTGAAGGGAATCTGATGTTGTCTTCGAAGTTGTGCTGTCTTTGTGTGAGTAGTCCCAGATTCCACAGGGCTGCCTGGGTCATTTCTGAGGATCATTTCCCCATATGAAGAAATTTGTCTGGACCTGTGGCTTTTCCTTACCTTCTTCAGAGCCACAAACTCATTCTCAGCATTGGCTCGGAATCCCACCTCCTCTTCATACCTGGGATGATAAAGAGGAGCAGGGTGAGTTTTCTAAAATGAGACTCAGTTACTCATAAGTCCCCCATGAGCCTCTAAACACCCTTGTGGCTTCCTATTGCTATTCACATACTACCATCCTTCTGGTCTTATATTTAAGATCCTTTAAGAGCCAGTGGTCCTCAGTTCCCCCAAATCTCTTTTACTTTTTCAACTTGGATTTAGGGTCTGAAGATCTGGACCATTGCTGTACTCCTCTGTTAGAAATGACTTGAGGTTAGAAGATGTGGGGGTTTTTTCCCCCATAAAATGGAGTACTACTCGGCCATAAAGACTGAGAAACTAGAGACACTTATAGCTAAATGGATGCACATTGAGGCCATACTCTTAAGGGAAATAAATAAGAAATAAATAGTTTCTCTGGTGTGAAAAACTAAAAGTGTAAATAAGAACCAAAATGTATAATTGATAATGTGAAATAGGAAGAAAAGGTCTGAAGAAGTAGGGGAAGTGGGAGGGTAGGGGGAAGGAAAGAAGAAACAAAAAATAGGAGAAAAGAAAAAATGAAAACAAAGTCTTTGTAAATAGGGAAGGGTGGAGGGGTAAAGGGAGGGCAGGGGAATGGAGAAAAAATAAGAACCAAGATACTCCTGTAAGCGTACAAGATCCCAATGATGAATGTAACTGTATTTTATACTGAAAATGTACCAATAAACTTAATGAAAAAAAATGACTTGGGGTCATTGCACTTGACCATAGAGGATATAAGAACCAGCTCAATGCTGAATATGAGTACTGTTTTCAAAACCAGAGAGTTCCATTTCTGGGGTGAACTTGCCTATTCCCCCTGGAAGTATTAGGGACACACTGTGCCCAATTCCAAGACTTCTTTTTTCTCAGGACCCACAGGGAACCTCCTCTTCCTCCCTCACACATCACTGTCCCCCACCCTGTCCCCAGGCTGGGTACTGTGACCAATATTCAGTCCTGATCCTTTTAGCTGCTCTCATTTGAAGTGGGCTGCTGTTTTGGGACCAGCTCATGCATGTCCTCAGTCTTTGCAGTCCAAGTGTCACTCACTTCTTCTTGAAGCCCTCAAGGATGTCTTGCATGTGGTTCTTCTCAGCCTGCAGCCGGGCCTGGTCACTGACCAGTATGTCCAGCTGCCTTCTCAGGTTGGTGATGTAGTTCTCAAAAAGAGGCTCCAGGTTGCTCCTGGCACATTTCTGTTCTTGGAGGAAGCTCCACTTGGTCTCTAGCAGTTTGTTCTGTTGCTCCAGAAACCTCACCTAAACCAACAGGGACAAAGAAATGGTATTTGAAGTGCTCACTAGGGTCCCCACATGTTGGCCAGTTCTTCAGAGCCATGATTCTCCATCACTGTTGATAGTGTTTTCTCCTTTGTTGACTTTCATTCCTCCTCTAATTCAGTAGAAGCTGGAAGATCAGATTTGTGCTCCTCCTCCTCACGTTCAGCCAGGATTGGCTACAAATAGAGGTGTTTGAACCAAAGCACTTCAGTCCCGTTTGCACCCCCCCCCCACCACCCCCACTCCCACCACCCCCATCCCCCTGCCAAGACACAAGCCAGTTCACTGGGTTTGGGGTTAGAAAGATTGATTCTGCTTAAGCTGAGGTTTGTCTGGAAAATCAATGCCAGGTGCCCCTAGCACAGCATGAGGAGGCAAGGAAAGTACATTGGGGTGAGCTGTGCTATGAGGAGGTGGGATTCTGGGATTGTAAGCCACATCAACCACCTTAGATACTCCTTTGCCTGAGATGTGTACAGCTGAAAGAGAAACTACAGCTCATTTCCCTCAATCTCCTCTTATTAGAGATGAGGACATTAGAGCCAAGAGGTTGCTTTCCAAGTCTGTGCCTCCATCTGCACCTGGACATTGTGGACGGCAGTTCTTTTGCACAAGCCACATCACTGTCCCTCTGAAGCAGCCTGAAGATCGGCTACCTCCAGTGATTGTTCCCTATGTTTCCCTCAACCTAGGCAGTTTGGTGAATCTTGGTATTCCCTGTGTGGGGTATGAATTCTTGGCTTTTTATATGAGAGTTACTCAATTCTGTTTCCCCTTTTCTAGGCCTGAACAGATAAGGCCATCCAGCCTCAGAAACTAGGGGAATCTCATAAAAAGCATAAGGATCTCGAAAGAGAAACTTTTAAAATTTACACCACCTGATTCCTGGCTGAAGTCTGAATATTGCTACCTTTAGACATTGCTAAGTACATTGCTAAGTACAGGAGACATTGCTAAGTGCACAGATAGTAGGCCTTAGTTTGCCTAGATGCTCTCAGAGTTGGCTGGTTGTTCCTTTTCCCTCCAAAAGAAGTAACCAGTGTCAGCCTATCTTACCATATGACAGTTCCTCTGGGTTGTCCTTGCTCAGTGGCAGAGCAACCCAGACCTCATTTCTCAGTTCCTTTGCTGGACATCTGAAGGACCTGGGGTCAAAGGCAATGTCTCCAACCTGGACCAGCTCTTGTTAAGGGAAAGAGCACCCCAATCCACTTTAGCACTTATCACCCCAAACCCAGATATTCAGCTCTCATATGTACCTTGTCAATGAAGGAGGCAAACTTGTTGTTGAGGGTCTTGATTTGCTCTTTCTCATCCTTCTTCACCCTCTGGGCATTGGGGTCAATCTCCAAGTTGAGCGGGGTCAGCAGGCTCTGGTTAACAGTCACAGCTGTGATAGATGGGGGTGCTGGACCTCCGACACCAACTCCAACTCTGTAGCCAAAGCCAGGGCCACCAAAGCCATAACCAAGGCCACTGCTGGCTCCAAATCCCAGACCAACACTGCTGCCAGCTCTAAACCCCAGACCAACACCACTGCCGAAGGCCACCCCACTGCCAGCACCAAAGCCAACACCGCAGTGGAGGGGACGAGGGCCCACAGCTGCTATCCGGGGTGAGCAAGATCCAAAGTTGACGACACTCCGACTACCAAAGCCACCCAGACCCCGGAAGCCAGACCTACTCCTGCAGGAGACAGAGCTGGCCTGGAAATGGTTCTGGGGGGTCACTACTGAGCAAGAGCTGAAGTTGCCCACCCGGCGACCAGAGGTGACTCTGTAGGAGCGACAAGACATGCTGACTTCCTGGGTGACAGCCAGAGCAACTGTAGAGTGGGGTGAGCTGGAGCTGGGAGTCCCTTTGAGACTAGTGGGTCCTTTTCATCCCTTTTATGTGTGTGGGGATCTGAGGATTGGCCCATAAAAATGAAAAAGCCATTTGAAGACATTTATGAGCTTGGGTAGTGAGCAGAAACTCTTCATGCCTGTAACCTCCTTAACAATGAGCTAACTCAGACACACCTATTCTCATCTGGGTAAGGACTATAAACATTAAAAACACATAAGCACATAAATATTATGATCCTATTTTTTCCCATAAGTCCACCACAATTGCCATTACAGGAACATTAATTTGCTTTGGTCATAAATTGAAAGACTTTTTCACTGCAAGAGTGGCTAACCACCAGAAAGTTAGGATGGTAACAGTTCCAGCCAGAGGCTCACAAGGCATGCATCTATGTAGATTTAAGACCGTAAAGAGAGGAGGAATGTGCAAAGGAGAAATGGTCTGCACAGCTCCAAGAAAGAAACTATATGAAAAGAATATAGTGTACTGTTTCTCTATAGACAAATTAAATGATCAATAAACTTTTTGCAGTGTTTCATCTATCCTCCATGATCTAGTTTGGCTGTTTACATAACAGTGAATCTATAGCAAAGCTCATTTGGGCCAATGTAGACACAACTCTTATTTGAGATGCTAAAAAGCGTTTCATTCATTTGATGATGATTGAGTGCCTACTCTGTACCAGGCTATGGCTCCTGTATGTAAAGCTACCCACATGGTCTGGAGTCACACCCCTTAGCAAATATACCACAGGACCGATTTAAGATCAGGTCCATGCAGTGTCCTTGAATAATTGGTTAGGATGCAGAGACACAAAGTAAGAAGCATCTGGAGAGAAGATGAAAAGTTTAAAACAACTGGATATTGTTATTATTAACAACATTACAGATGTTCAGGATCCAGAGACAAGCTGGGGTTGGCATTTTCTATTCTAGTATGTGGAATGTTTGTCTTTCTTGTCCTGTGCCTGGGAGAACTTTTGTTTGACTGGATGCTTGGGCTCTCTCAGATGCTTTGGGATCTACTTAGAGGGGGATAAGTGGTTTTAACAGAAGATATCTAGCCATTACTGTATTTTCTATAGACCCAGCTACCAGGAAAAGACACAGAAAAATAAAGAACTAGAGAATCCTTAACGAGATCACAAACAGCCTCTGGGTTGAATTCAGCAGTCTGTTCTCAGCCCCCCTTTCTCCTGACTTACCAGCAGTATTTGACACAATCGACAAGCCTATTCCCTTGACACACTTTCTTCTTTTCATTTCCAAACAATATATCCTCCTAGTTTCTTGCCATCCTTTTTAGTCTTCTTAGCCAGTTCCTCCTCATGTTCCCAACCTCTCTACACACCTGAGCATCCCTAGGCTCAGCCCTTGTGGCTTTTCTCATCTTTGCCGTGGTGACATCATACTGACTTGTGACTTTAAATTCTCTCTGCCCATCAATGACTGCCAAGGCATAGCTCTACCCTAGACACCCTCCAACAATGTGCCACCTGTATATTTTCATAGGTGTCTCTATTTCAGTATCACACAGGCATCTCAAATTTAGCACACCTCAAAATGTTCCCCTAATCATTCTACTAAATATTTTCTACTTGCCAACATCACTATCCCTGTGGTAGCTCAGGCCATACATTGGCAAATTTACCTTCAAAATATATCTGACTATATTTTGTCACCCCTCTGCTCCCGTGTTGGCCCAAGTCCTTCCTTCTTGCCTCACCAGTGAACTGCCCTTCTGGCTAGTTTCCCAGCTTCCTCCTCTACCTCTTAGACTTTTCTCAACACCATAGCCAAGGGGATCCTTGAAAAACATGTTAGTTACAGCACAATACTGTGCTCAATGCTCTCAGAGCCCAGGCTATGCCAGACTCTCCACAGGGAGCACCCCCTTCCTGACCTCACTTCCTACCACCTATCCTACTGCTTGCTGTGCTCTGGTCACTCTGGCCTCCTGCTTGTTCACAGAATCGGTGGGCACACTCATGCCTCAGACTTTGACCCACTTGTTGTTTTTAAAGCTGGGAACATTTTCCCTCACATAGCTCCTTGCCCCCAAGCTCCTTCAACTCTTTCAGGTCTTTGTTCCTATGTCCTCTTCTTCACCCCTGTTGATGCTCCTTGCGCTCGCTCACTGTCACCTGTCCTCTTTTCTTAGCAAGCTTGTCATCTAGGTCCTCTCTTGCATGGTTTACCTGTGTGCCCTGGCTGGGGTGTAAGCTCTGGGAAGCAGCACTGTTGTGAGTTTAGTTCTCCTGGTGGCCCCAGGGCTTTGTAGATTGTGCACAAGGCAGGCACGCTACCCAGTATTGTAAGATGACTGAATACAGAGCAGAGCTTGACAGCGGGAAGAGAAAGGGAGAGACGGAGTGGGTTTTGCAGGCATTTCAGGAAGAGGAGACTCCAGGCCCAAAGTGGGTAGGAACATCCCTGGAGATGCCACTGGCATTTCTGTCAGTGGGGTAGAAACTCAGGAGCTCACAGGAGTATCAACTAGTTTGCCCTCCTGAGCTTGAGTCTGCCTGCTTGGAGGAAAGGGCACCCCACTTCTTTGGAGGAAGGCAAGAGTTTCCAGGAGGTTGGGAAGGAGACCAGACAACCCCTGCCAAGGTGAAAGGGGAAGAGGTAGGAGATATGGCATAGAGGTCACCAGTGAGGACAGATGACTTGATACAGACTTTGGGGTCAAATGGGCCCAGGTTTAATCCCAGTTTTGCACCTATCTGTTGTGTGACGTTGGATAGTGGTGGTTTGAAGGCAAGGTGGTAGTAGCTTTCTGCTTTCTGTAGGTACCATGTCTATTAATCAATAAGGGGTTCTTGTCTGTAGAGATCCTAAAAACAATAGTACCATTAACTGAAAGTCCACCTGCTTTCTATGATCACCATGCCTGGCCATTCTAAATAATGTTAATCAAACCCTACCCTGACCAACAGTACATCAGTGACTGGGGGAATTTTGTGACCTTTCTGAGCCTCAGTTCCCCCATGTGTGATATGGAATTAGACCTACTTCATCATGTTTTGGGCTGCATCGTGGACTTCTCTAGGGTGTATGCTGGGTGGGCCTGTAGCTGTCCTCATGTTTCATCGCTCTCCCTCCTTCTCACCTTGTTCTCTGCCCTTTTTCCTCTCTCTAGTCCAATCCTCCCTGCACTTCTCAGCAGTCCTCCCTGTCCCAGTCCCACACCCCACGCCCCGTGGCCGAGGTGCTCATTATACCATTAGGCGGCATTCCTGGGGTTTTCCAATCTCGGCTTCCTTGAACCCTGAGCAGCCTGGGTGGGGTGGGGGTGATTGGGACCGGTCAAGCATAACCCTGTAACCATCAGCACTTTATAGTTCTGAGACATTTTTTCACCAGAAGATGCATAACACAACCGTCAGCCATTTTCTAGGGGGTGGCAGGTGGAGAGGAGGAGGAGTTGTCCTGGCAACTTTGGGCTGGAGGTTTTGCTGCTGTGACAGTTTCTTCTTGCTGTCGTCAGCCAGCCTGAGTGTAATCCGGGAGATCTGCCGGGTGAGCCCACGGTGGCTCCCCGGTGGGGTGACTGTGCTCCCACTGCTGGGTCATCGCGATGCTATCTGTGGAGCAGGGAGGGAGGGAGGGGAGGACAGGCCTGCCCAGTGGAGGGGGAGGGGCACTCCCTCCGGTTGGCTGAGCTGGGTCCGGGAGCCCTGGGCACGCTGTGGCTGGGCATGTGGGTGTGTGTGGGCAGATGGACCTGAGGGGAAGCCCAGGTGCTGAGAAGACTTTGCTGAAAGCCGCCTTCTTCTAGTGCTTCCGTTTTGCCTGGGGATGAGTTTGCGCTGGAGAGAGGCACTGTCTGGGCAGTCGGTCCTGCTGAGACCTGTACCCTTTGGGGGGAAGCCAGCTAGAGTCCCCAGCAGCAGTAGAAAGGGACAGAGGGCAGGGTGCTCCTCCCTTGCCCGAATTGCCACCTCTGCCCTCTCAGGCCACTTGTTTGGAACCCAAAACCCTCCCCAAGGGAGATAAATCACCCTCTCTTGCTGGGTGCTCCCCTGCTCTGGGAAGGGTACTTCAGGTTTTAAGTCCTTCACATTGCCCACGGTCACGTGTCCAGGGCAAAAGGGTTCCTGGCAGGCAGCAAGCGTTCCTTGAGTGCTCCAGTGTGCCTGACTGTGTTACTGGCACTTGGGCAGCCCCCTTCTTGCTAACAGACCAGTGACCCTGGGCTCCTCTCCTTTTTGAAGCAATTGGCTCCAATGCTTGGAAACCCCAGTGAGAAAAGCAGTGAGTCACAGAGGAGACTGCGTGAGGAGAGGCTACTGGGGGCAGAGGCAGAGGGTATCTTGGTGGGTCACCAGAGCAGGGAAGGCCTCACAGGGAGAGGACTCTGCGTAAGCATCTGAGAGTGGGGGAGGACGAGGGATGGGGAAGTGGGAGGCAGATGCAGAGACAAAGAGCCTCACCCTGGGTCCTCCCACCCTCTTGCTGCCTCTTGATGCCATTTCCCATCCTGTCCTTGCTTGGGCATTCTTTGAGGGGCTGGGGCTTGGATTTTCCGGGAAAATTCTGGAACTCTGGGTTTTTGTAGATATTTTTCCTTTCTCTTAGAGGGCAGGGTGCCCTTGCAGTTCTTCTCATTCTCTAGCACCCAGCGGGGCAGGCTGGAGAAGTGTTTGCTGAGTTGAATGGAATGAGAACACCAAGAACACTGGGCCACCACCAGGAGGCACTTTCGTCCCACCTGCCTTGAGTCATCACATCCCTTGCGGGGAATAGAGAATGGGCCACTTGCTAACAGTGAGGAGAGGGGGAGTCCCAGGTAGATGTTCTGGAGGGGAAGTGCCCAGGCCTCTGAGCTTGTGCCCAGGCCTGAGCTGTGATATTCTGCTGTTCCGATGAGTAGTTCTTAGTGGTGTTTCTAATGTCCTCCCCTCCCCAGCAGACACTCCCTAGGGGCCCGAGGGCTCTGGAACCAAAGTTTCAAAGATAGTCACCAGGCCAGAGCCCCCCTTCTATGGGGAGGCAATCATCTTTATTTTTACCTCAGCCAAACACCGAACTGGGGTTATTTCCCAGGCTTCAGGTAGCCATCTGTGGGATAGAGGTGGCTGGTCTCCTTGGTATCTGTTTTTTCTGACTCTAGGCCAAAGCTTCCCTGTCATTTCCAGAGCTCTGAGGTATTAGTCAGCAGGGAGCTTAGCTGTCTCCAGGGCCAGCTCCACAGCAATGAGGCTTCAAATGGGAACTGTGGCTCTGGGCCCACCATTGCCTCCTCCTTCCCAAGTACATGGGGTTGATCTGAGTCCCAGGCTTTGGGGGTGCCGGTGCCCAGCCACCAATCCCTTTACCTGGCCTTACAGTCCCACTGGTCTGGAGAGTCAGGCTTGCCGGGCACCTACTGGGGACGTCCCGTGTCCTGTGACTAAAGCAGGGTCAGCAGTTCTGGCCCCCATGGCCCTCTACTTTGCCACCTCCATGGAAATCCTCACAGCTGTAATTTCGTGTCCCAGGTCTGTATTCCTGCCAGGCTGGAGCCCCATGGGCTTGGGCCAGCCCCCACCTCCCTAACAGCCTTATTGAGATATAGTTCTCATTACCGCACAATCTGCTCATTTAGAATTACAATTCAGTGGTTTTTAGTATATTCACAGGTTTTGTAGCCATTGCCATAGTCAATTTTAAAACACCATCACCACCTCAAAAAGAACCCTTTAGGCATCCCCCCAACTCCCACCTCCCCCTCCCGCCAGCCTTAAGCCAATGCTACTCAGCTTTCGGTCTCTACAGATTTCTTTGTTCCTGGACTTTCTGTGCATTTATTATATGAATGGAATCATGTAATGAATGGTCTTTTGTGACCAATTTCTTTCAGTTTTCAGATTCACTCATGCTGTAACATATATCAGCACTCCATTCCTTTTTACCGTTAAAATGATGTTCCATTGTATGGCCGTGCCACATTTTGTTTATTCATTTTGTTCATCTGTTGATAGACATTTGAGCTGTTTCCACTTTTTGGCTATTATGAATAATATTTCCAGTTTGTATGGGCTCATATTCTTTTCTTTTTGGTATACATGTATGGGTGGAGTTCCTGGGTCATCTGACTGATGGTTTTGAGGACCTGCTGGGCTGTTCTCCACAGTGGTTGGTCTATCTCACATTCCTTATCCTGGGCCTTGGGTATTGGGCCTACTGCACCTGTGGGGCTGACTCATTCTGCTGCCAGCCCATGGGTGGCCTGACCCAAACAGGTGGTTAATGAATTTCCTATTGTAAGAATGGAAAAGGAAACAAATGGGTTGCTTTGAGCATGCTGCCCATGACCCTGTATCTCTAGGGTTAGTTTCTTGCAATCTTCCTTGCGAGTCGCTCTCTGACCTCTTTCCCAGCATAATCATTAGTTGCTACTTGTTGTTCTCATATTTTTGTTATTTACGACTCAGTTATTTATGACTCCTCGGTGAGGCTGAGAGTCCCTCCAGGGGTAAAGGCATCTTTGTCATCTCTGTCTTGTGTGTGGCTGTGGGGTGGGGAGGCTCATCCTGACTCCCAGGAGGGGCCCACAATGGGCAGAGAGCCCCTTGGAGGAGCTGTTACAGGGATTACTGAGGGAACAGGGAGAGGTACAGGGGGACTCATAGAGGGTAGAATCCATTCACTGCCACCAAATCTTGTCTCTAGCTCTTGGGGTTCTTTTTTTTTTTGGTACCAGGGTTCAAACTTGGGTCCTTGTGCTTGCGAGGCAGGCTGCAGAACTGCTGAGCGAGATCCCCGCCCCTCTCTGGGGGTTCTTTACATAGGAAGAGGAGGTTGAGTGTCTTGGTCCTTTTCTCATGCTGCACTGTCACCCGTCTTCCCTGTTTTCCCCAGTCACTCTTCCCAGTCCCTGGGGATACTCCAGGATGAGGGTCACTGGCCAGGGTTTGAGGGCTGTTGAATCCTAATGTGATAGGGGACCTACGGATTTTCTCTAGACTGTATGCAGGACCCTATGTATGGAAGAGCTCTGTGTGCAATTGTCAGTGGTTTTTACTGCAACAAATGACTTGCAAACTACTGGGGTATGATGTGCAGGTTTTAAGTGCAATTTATATGGAGACATTTTTGTTCCACAGGTCACTTACAAATTATTTATGTCATTTCCCATTGCTATAGCAACTTTCATTTCCATTCCCAAGCCTCCAGCCTTCAAAGGCTGCTCCTGATTCCCCTCAGCATTATCGCACATCCCCTACAGAGCAGGGGTGAGTAATCCTAATTCCTGCAGTGAAAACAGAGTCAGTTTATTGGGAACAGAGAACCCAGAGGCTCCTGGCAGAGAAATTGAATCCAAGGTGGGTGGGATTTGTAGGAAGATATCCTGGAAGGTGGGGTCAGCCCAGCATCTCCTTCTCCCTCTCCTAGCTCTAAACCAGAGCTTCCAAGTTGCTAGGGCAGAGGTACAGAAGCAGTACAGGGAAATCTGCATTCTTGCTACACCCAAAGTCCCAATACAAGAGGAACTAAAGGGAGAAGGAGCAGAAATTGGGTGGCTATGTACAGTGGGTTCAGTGGGGGCGAGACTTGATTCCATTGAGCAAATCATGTCAGCTCTTGATTCTCCGTCTGTTCAGTAACTATTCCATGGACCCTTGGCCTTTGTTCCAAACACTTCCCACTATCACCTGCCAATGTGAGCTCAGGAAACAGACTTATTTTTATATTTTGGGTTCAATATACCTAAGCAAGTAAATCTATTGTCCAAAGAACACCTCTTGAGATTTGTGCTGGGAGGACATTGACAAATCCTGAGGGATCCTGAAACCTTGGCACTTGCCTTTGGAAATCAGAATGGGATTTGGGGGTTTTAGTGTTTGCAATAGTGCATGTTTCCAGTGGATGCTAAAAGTTCACTTTTCTAAGTGCATGAGAACCAGAGGGAAGGAAGATGGGGAGCATTGGTGGGAGTGGGAAGGAAGAGGCTGGCTTTGTGCAGAAACTGGGCCTCACACAAAGCAGAACTGTGATGTCTCCATGTGGCCTTTTCATCCAGAATAGCAGTGGTTGGGAATACTGCAATTCTTTTGGCCATGCTAGGGCTGACATCCACCAGGAACAAAGCATCTCCTTTCTTTACATCCTACCCCATCCCAGGGCCCTCTTTGGGGTCTGTGTCCAGCTATGTGAAAGGTGGCTTTTGAAGACAAGGATAAACCAGGGGAGCAGCTCAGCTCCCAGCAGAAATCCCAGGGGAATTTGGAGTCAATATGGGAAAGTGGGGTTTTGAAATACCCCTATCTTCAGCTGTGTGGGAGTGTGACATTCAAGAATTGTCCCCTAGATCTCCAGCCTTTGGGTCAATGCTAACACTAGTGGCCACAGGAGCTGCCCCCAGCCCCCAGCTTCATGCTGGAGATCCTCCCACTCCCACAGCCCACAAGCCCCTGTGGCTCGCAGGGCATGTAGAGTTCACCAGTGGCCACCATGCTGCAGCCCCCACTGCTCCTGATGACACTGGTGCCTCCTGTGCAGTACTCAGGCCTCAGCATGGGCGTGCTGACCACACATGGCTCATACAGGATGGCACCTTTGGAGCTGCTCACGGCTGTGGGGACAGGAAGTGACACTCAGAGCCCCACCCTGCATAGCTCTGAGAAACATGTCCTGAAACATCTCAGCCAAGCCATTACTCTCACATGTTGCCGCTCACCTCCAAGGATACCCCATCCCAGCCACAGCTTCCATATCTCCCCATCCTAGCAGCATCCAGGGCTTGGAAGTGCCCCTGTTCTCCTCCCCTTTCCCTGAAGGCTTGTTGAAGCCAGGCCTGATGTCTGCTTCACTCCCTCTAAGTCTTTCCTGAGCCTGCTTCAAACCCTTGCTCTCTAGCAAAGCACTCTCTTGTCAGAGTGGCTCCCAGAGACTTTGGGAACCATGCATATGCTCGTAGTTCCAACCCCCAAAAGATATGGATAGCCCCGCCAGAGAACTTCTCCATCAGCCCAGGGCTCATGGCAAACAAGGCCCTTCCTGTTGGGTAGGGGAGGTCCCTGAGGCCTGGGTGGAGAGTGTGGGCTTGTGTTGGGCTGATCTGTTCCTGAGCCCAAGACCTCTGGGGATGTGGCTCATCTACTTACAGATGTTCACCGGCCCAATGCCTTCATACAGCCTGGGAAGAGGAAGAAGACAAGATGACTGCATTAGAGAGATTCAAGGAGCACCTCCTTTCCTCTGCCCTCACCCTGCAAAGGAGGAGGGTGCAGGCCCCTGGGCTGAATAACAGCCCAAGCTCCTGAGTGCAGACACCTCTGGTGCCTCTCCTCCTTCAAGCCTACCTGTGCTCCTCGCCCTCCAGCAGGCGCCTGTAGGTGGCGATCTCGATGTCCAGGCCCAGTTTGGAGTTCATGACCTCCTGGTACTCCTTGAGCAGGCAGGCCATGTCCTGCTTGGCCTTCTGCAGGGCCTCCTCCAGCCCTGCCAGCTTGCACTTGGCATCGTTGAGGGCAGCCTCACCCTGCTGCTCTGCCTCAGCTATGGCCCCCTCGAGTTTGCAGCGCTGGAGGGGAGGGCATAATAAGGCATCTCTGTGGGGCCCAGAGTCCTGAGCCAGACCCTCAGAAGATCAGGAAGAACACATGGTGGTACCTTCCAGGTCTAACTGTGCTGTGGGTTTCACCCTAGGAGTATGACATCTGGCTCCTCCTGGGAAGTGGAAGCCATTTTCTGTCTAAAACACTGGAGGGGGACCTGAGGCTTTAGATATGCTCAGCAATTGCGTAGGTGGGCTGGTTGGGAGGTCTAATAGATTTTAAGTGCCTGGCTGGTCTTCATTAGCCTAGGAGAATAGACTGGGCCTGATTTTATGAGCAACTCAGAGTCACCTTGAAGTTCACAGTCACAGGTTTAGAGCCTGGCTTTGAAAGGACCATGGAAAACATCTTTCCTTTACCCTCGGTGACTGCATCTCTGACAACAGGTCACCTGGCCACTATGGGGAATCTGGCTGTTTCTTGAGGCTCCCCATTGGCGCCGGTAGGTCATCTTGTATAGACAGAGCTTGCTTCCTCCTGAGCAAGGTGGCCCACCCAGGTTTGTCCCCTTGCCAGCTGCACTCACTGCATGGGTTGGACCTGCCCACATGGCCCAGCAGGCCAGTCACCCTCAGAGAGCCTGTCTAAGTCAAGAGGGCCCCGCCTCACCTGGGCCTTCATAGCCTCAGTGTCTTGCTGCAGCCGCTGGATCAGCTTGTTCATTTCCAAGATCTCATTCTTTCGGTTTCGGAGGTTGTCACTGTGGTTCCCAGCCATCACCCTCAGCTCCTCGTACTGTTGGGACATAGGGGCCAGAACCCAGACTCTGCACCATGGCATTGCTTAGACCCTGTCTCACTGGCTCATTTTACCTCTCTGGCTTCTTCCACCTGCCCTGTCCACCATCCCCTTCTCATGGCTGATCAGATTTGGGGTCCTTATGTGGCACTCCCTGTTCCCATCTTGCCCCTCAGCTCAAAGCCTCAGACTTCTTAAGTTCCCCTCCAGGCTCTAAGACCCTTTCTCTCTGCTGCAGAGCCTAAAGGCTCTCTCTCTTTCTTAGATGTCACTTTGGACCTTGGAAGGGATTTCTGTGTTCAGGCTGCAATGCTAACAGAGCAAGGACTCAAAACAACTAAAAAAAAGAATTCAATGCTATGTCCTACCGTGACCTAATGCTTTTTTTCCCTAGCCTTTTGACTTTAAATCTAAGTTCTGAAGAGTGGTTATATACAGACTATGTTTATAGAATTTTTAAAAATTAGCCAACTTTAGATTGTCTGATAGTTCATGGAGAAATCTTGCACAGAAAATATAAAACAGGACACAGGCATACTCTTTGGCTCTTCCATTATTTGGTTACTGTGGGAAGCCTGCAGTTGTCTGATTAATATTCACTCTTCCCTCCTCAAAACAGAATCCTGTGAGCCCAGATAAAATAATATTTCTGGGCTTTGTGATCAGAGAGATTGTTGCTATTGCTAGGTAGAGCTTCTAGGAAAGTTCTTTAAGTGGGGAATGGCTCAGTTGGCATGTTTCTTCTTTGTTTTTCTCCTTTTTTCCTGCCTAGCATGAGTGTGTGATATTGGAGGTATTGCAGTTATCTTGGGATATGAGGCAATTATGAACATAAAAACACATGTTAAAGATGGCAGAATGAATAACTAGAATTCTGGGTCCCTGACACTCCTGTGTCATACTGGGCAATATATTTTTGTACTTTGTTACTTGAGAAAAAACTGAAAAAACTGAATTTGTTTTAACCACTGTTTAAAAAACTTCTGATCCTCGTAGATAAATACAATTCTTAACTAATAGAAATTGCCTTTACCATTCTGAGGATGGAAAACTGAGCTCATATTGCTGGAGCCCCCCTGCCTGATGGGTGCTCCAGGGGCAGCAGGAGGAGCAGCCTGCTGGGTGCAACCTAGCAGTAGATGGCCACAGCTGAGCCAGCAGGGCTGACTCCTGCCAGGGTTCGTAACTTCTGATTACCCCAGATCTTCAGATCATAGGCAGTGTCACTCGAGGCACTTGATGTACAGTGGCACCATGACCTCAGAGGAAACTCCCAGTATTAGCACATCTCTGAAGGGGTTCTAGTCCCAGCCCAGGGTGGTCTCTGCAGCCTGATCTCCCTCAAGGCACATGACCCACCAAGGACTTCATTTTATGCCTCATGTCCTGGTTCCTGCTGCTCACCCACTGGGCACACTTTTCTCCCATTCTCTGCCTATTGACATCTTCCTCGTCCTTTAAGAGCAGATCAGAGGACAATGGCTCTATCTTTCCAGATACAGTTTGTGTTTTTTGTCATTAACTGCTTGGACCTGCTGCCTGACCTTGGCACAATCCCTGTACTTTGGTTTGGTTGGTCACCCCCATTCCCTGCCCTAGTAATGTCCTTGAAAACACGGGTAGTTTAATTTTTGGTGTCCTCAGTGCTACTCACATCCTTCCCTGGCTACTCTCTCGACAGCTCACACTGCCTTATCCTTCACCTGGTTTATTTTCTCAGTAGCATGCATCAACATCTACCATGCATCCTTTGTATTTACTGGCTTTGTTTTTTGTGTGCTCCCCCCAACCCCAGAAGAAAATGATATGAGGTCAGGGATTGCTATCTATCCTGTTCCCTGCTGAGTCTCCAGCTTCTACCACTGAGCTTGGCAAATGGTGAATGCCCAACAAATAGCTCCTGGCTGAGCGCACCAACCAGGAATGACTGAATGCAGGGTGGCTTTTGCAGGCAGGGAAGTGGGACTGAGATGATAATATTTGTTAAGTCAAATTGCCCTGAGGGATGCCCCTGCCCTCCAAGAAAGCCCCTAATTACTAAGTCTGGGCCACCTTAATCACTGTCTCTGCCCCACCATTAGTAACAACCCCATGCCACTAGCCTCCTCCCACACCTTGAAGCCCAGGGGCTCCTTTGCCATCATCACCAATTATATGTACAGGATGTTGCTTAGAGAAACATCTGATGAGTCTACAGGTAAATACACCTGGGTCCCAGCAAGCACCCTAGTGACAGGCCTGGGCTGTCTGTGGGTCATTCCCACATAATATGCAGGGACCTGGCCTGAGGCCCAGCAGAAACAACAGGCTGGGGTTAATGGGATTCCCTGATGCTGTGGTGTGGCCACAGCCTTCATTAGCTCCTTACCCACTACTTCCTGGGGCAGAGGGGATCTAGAGGTCCTCCCTTCCCCCTCTCCCATTCTCCCTTCCTTCCTCACACTGCACCCCAGCCCTGTCCCTCTGCATCCCAGCCTCACCTGGCGCTGGTACCAGGCCTCCATTTCAGCTTTGCTGCGTCTGGACATTTCTTCATACTGGGCCTTGATTTCAGTAATGATGTCATCCACGACCAGATCCCGGCTGTTGTCCATCTGCACAATGACGGATGTTTCAGAGATCTGAGACTGCAGCAGTGCGATCTCCTGAAGAGAAAAAGGGATGAGGAGATGGGGTGGGGATGGGGAAGGGAGAGCCCACTCCACCCTCCCACCATGGCAGATTTGCACAGGACTGGGCTGTATCTGTTCCCAGACTTTTGTCAACAAAGTGTTCCTTGTTTGCTTCCTTTAGTGACCTCAGCTTCCCCAGAGGGGCTGGAGAGCCAAGGAGCTGGGCAATCTACCTCTGAGCACCAGCTCTCCCACTGGACCTCTTCCCAAACTTCTTGTGGAAACACAAGCACCGGGCACACGCGCACCGTGCCCCCCCCCAAGCTCTTTTAGCAAAGCCCCTGACCCACCACCTAGAAGGCAGCATGGTTGCAGGTACCTCTTCAAACAAATTTTTCAAGAAGTTCATCTCCAGCTCTAAAGCCTCCACATTGGTCTCCAGGTCAGCCTTCACCAAGAAGGCCGTGTCCACATCCTGCAGCAGGGCAGAGATGGAGCCATGACCTAGAGCTGGGAGGATGGAGGGGCCATGCCTCTACCAGCCAGGCACCTCCCTGGCAAGCTGGCAGCAGGTGGTGTGTGTGGGCTCACCTCTCTTCACTGAGGCCCATATGAAAGTGAAAAGAGTGATGGAGCCATGGTGGGAGGGAGAGGTCCCCAGCCCTGGGTGCACCCTTATGGGGGAGGGATTGGAAGGAAGGAGTCTTGCATGTGGGTCCTCAGAGCTCCTTTTGCAAAGTGTGTCCTGGAAATATCTGGCTGCTTATCTGAGGAATCACGGCAATTGTTTTCATCCTTGGGGATTTGAGTCAGAGTTTTGTTTTGTCTTTGACTTGGCACTAGCCACACTTCTAGCTGGTTGGGCAGGTGTAGACACTACACTTATCTAGCTTTGCCCGATAGGAGGTGGAGGTAAGGCAGGACAACCCTGACCCTTTGTAAGGAGGCTGAGTGGGGGGAGGAAGCTGGCTTTCTTTTCTCCCAGGGTAATGGAGCTGGCACAGGAATCTGAGGGGTAAGGACCCCTGGGTGAGTGGGTGGGCTGTGGACACATCTGGACACACAGTCCAGGGGCCTCCCACCTCTCTGTGCCTCCTCACCTTCTTTAGGGCCACAAACTCATTCTCAGCACAGGGACGCAGGGAGAGCTCCTCTTCATACCTGATAGGATGACAGAGAAGCTTTAGTTGGGTGTGTGGAATTTGGAAGGGATCTGTTTTCAGGCCTTTGGGGGCCACTGTGCTGTTGTTGACTGACTGCCTTGTCTTTGGACACCTGTTGTTCCTCCTCCACTCAAGACAGGTGATTATTACCAAAGCTTCTCACAGCCACCTTGCAAGCTTACGGCCTCCCACTCCCCTGTTTCTTAGATGAGTCATCTTCCAGGAGGTCCTCCTTGAGGCTACCTGCATTCCCTCTTGCTGTGGAGGAAACCCCCTCATCTTGTTGTTTCCTCTGGGAATTGGAGAGAGAGGTGGTGCTGCTGGCCTGACCATCTTTGCCTAGTTTTTCTGAACTGGCTGCAGTCCCTGAAATTCCTTGTGCAAGGGTGCCAAGCCTGGCCCCAGTTCAGCCCACTGGCAGAGGTAGCAATTATCCACTTTACCAGACTCACAGAGGCAGCCTAACTATGTCCCCAAACTCCTTGGGGCTCCTTGGCCCACACACCACTCCCCCCAGGTACAGGGATCAGAATTGGGGTTCACCCTGGCCAGAGTGACTCACTTGGTGAGCAATATCCATCCATTAGAAGTTTCCCTATGCTTCTGATGTGCATCTCTCCTTTGCCCAGCAGTTTGCCTGGCTCATATGCTGGGCTCCAGATTCAGAATCCCCCTCTGTTTCTTGCTAGTCATAGCCAAATGGGGTGAGGGACTTGACCTCTGCACCTCATCTCTTACTTGTCACAGTCTGCTAGAATTGTACCCTCACTTGGAATACCTGGCCCTTCTTTGTCATCTGCTCCTTTCCCTCCTCATTTCTGAGGTCTACTCTGGATTCCCCTTCTAGAAGAAAACATGGGAAGGAACATTACCATTCAAGGCCCCAAGCCAATGGCACCTACTCTGGGAGACCCTCCCCAGCTCCTTCTGCTTACCTCTTCTCGGGACTCCTCTCTTTTCTGTGCTGTTCCACTTGTAGCTGTTCACATGTAAGTGCAAGTGGCCTGTGTATACTGGACTGGGGCATCTTGAGGGAAGGGGCCACTTTTCCCTTTCTAGAGCACCAACCCTTCCCATTGTAGTGTCTGGTGCTGAGAGGGACTGTGGTTGACACTCAGGGCATGAATGTCCCCAACATGGCTCAATTCCTCTGATACATCCTCTACAAATTGCCACTCTCAGTATATTTGCAGTTTCTCTCCAAAGGAAATGTGTCTATCTCAACCTCTCCCAGGAACATGCACTTCCTTGGGGTGCTGGCCCCAGGGCAGACCCACCCAGGACCACCCAGGAGGCAACTAATCTGGACCTCAGTCCCTTGCAACCATTGGAGCTACTTGCCTTCCAGCTCTTCATTAACACACGCTCATGAGCCACCTACTTCAGGCTGTGATCAGACCTGGAGCTTCTCTGGGGAGAGCACATGGCACAGGATGGACAACGCAAATCCCAAAGCATCGGGGATGGAGACAGAGGTAGTTCAAGCCCCTGATAATGGGGGTGGGGGTGGATGATGATGATGATGACCAGGTCATTTCCAGCTGTGTGACGGGGAAGCCAGAGTTAAGGGATGAGAGGAAAAGTGAGCTTGCTGGCTGGACAAGGGGAAATACCAAGAGGGAAGGAAGAGGAAGGGGAAGGAGGAGCAGGCACAGGAATTTGGTGGGAAGAGCTGTAGAGATCCACTGGGGGATTAGGAAGTAGTTCTGGGTCTGCAAATGGGAGGTGAGGCAGAACAGGCAGGTAGTTTGGAGCAGGCACTGGGCTCCCAAAATGGCAGGTAAAAAGAGTGTGTTTTACAGTGGGAGATTCTGAGGGTCTTATTTAGTCAGGGGCTGGGAAGGGAGGTGAAGACAAATACAGAATTGCAGAGCTGTGTGTGCCATGTACATGATAAGTGGTGTGCTCAGCTTACCGTAATTGTTCTTCCCCAATTGAGCTAGACTTACCATTTTACAGATGGGAAACTAAGGCCCAGATAGCTCCTGTATTTGGCCCTAGGTCCCCTCATGGGGTGAAAGCGGAGCCAACTCACTTTTTTTTGTAGCCTTCCAGTGCATTTTGGACACTGCAGAGCTCTGCCTCCAGCCTCCCATGCTCCCCGGACATGCAGTCCAGTTCCCTCCGCAGGGCACAGATGTAGCCTTCGAAAAGGGGCTCCATGTTGCTCTGGCAGCACCTCTGCTGCTGCATGAAGTTCCACTTTGTCTCCAGCAGCTTGTTCTTCTGCTCCAGAAACCGCACCTGCATCCAAATATGGGGCATCACCAGGAGGCATGGCCCTGGGAACCGTGCCTTGGAGAGGGCAGTGGGATGACTTTGTGTCCTCTCCCAACACTACAATGTGCAAAAGTTAAGGTCTGCACAGATTGGCACTGAAGGGTGTCTCTGTCTCCTCTACCTTGGGGAACTTGGAGGACCCCCACTTTCCACTTGGGCTGCACATAGTAGAATGCTGCCCCAAGAGGCCTGGGGCAGGGCCACACTCCAGCCCTGCCTGCCTGCCGTTTGATACCTTGTGACTTTGGCTCACTCTTCTTCCTAAAGAGCCTCCTTGGCATGTACTCTACAAACTTGCCCACTAATGTAAGACTGTGCTGCCTGGGAGTCCATGGTTCTTTTGTTGCAGTCCAGGGCCACTCCGGGCAGACGGTCATATCAAGGGTTGTGTCCTAGGAGTGTTAGCTCTTTTCACTTACTCTGTCCCATTCCACCTGGCTGCCTCTGAGAGAAGTATAGGTCACAATAACAGACAGCCACTGGCGCATCTCCAATTTTATGTACTAACACCAAGATTAGAAGAAATTGAGTGGGTTGACCCAGGCCATCTACCTTGTCACTGGCAAAGGGAGCATGGTCTCCAGTCCTTCCCCCATGATTTCCTATATTGAGCCTTGACTCTCATGATAGTTGCAGAAGGAATATTGCCCTTCTTCTGGTGAATCCCACAGCAGGACAATCCTAGCCATGCTGAAGGGAGAGTGACATTGTTGATGGCCAGGATCCACATTTCTGGAGTGGAGTCATAACCAGAAATTTGTAAACTTTAAGAATAAAGCTATAAGTGAACAAGATCCTTTGTGAAGCAGGGTTTTATAGACTACCTCCTCTAATTCTCCCACTGTTTCACGACCACTTCCCCTTGAGGCAGTCGAATCCTCAAGGTAGAATGGGGAGTGGCTTACATAGGGATTCAGGTCACAGGAGTGGAGCTAGCACCAGGGCCCAGGACACTGACTTATGTCCCAGCAACCTTGGTGCTAAACCTTAGGGTCACCAGAAATACCAGCTCAGCTCTTGTTGTGCATCTTGACTCCAAGAGCCTCTCTGGGGTGAGGAGATAGGCCAAGGAGCAGCTGAGGGCCAGGCCAGCCAGCGCCTTCTAAAGGCAGCACACTGCTCTTCTCTGAGGCCCTTTGGAGCTAGGATCCATAGCTGACAGATGCAAGATCGAGTGAAGGCCACTCTGTGCCCCTAGCTCTGACTGCTCTACTTTTTCCTCATCCCAGTCTTAAGCTGATGGCAAATTTGGGGGTCATAGTGCCCATTCCTGCCTTCAGTCCTGAGTCCTGAGGCAGTTCTGGCACACAGAAGGCAGTCCTATATTAAAGCCTTACTTCTCAGACTCTTTGGTCATTCTCTTCAGTATGGCTTTGAAAGTTCCTCCTACAGTCTGACCTAAGGCAACCTCAGTGATTTTCTCAGATAATCTAGAGGGAGATGATCCACTAAACAAAGGACTGAGAGGCATAAAGTTTCAGTGCTGAGCTTGATCTAAACAGCTTTCATGATGAATGGTTGTGGAATGCTAGAGAGGCCAGTAGACAAATGGCTGCTTCTCCACTGTCAGCCTCTTCCTTATCCTTGGGCACACACAGGTATTCTCTGTGGCGGATTTTGTACCCACTGCCCTCATGCCTTGGGCCCACCTCTTACCTTGTTGATGAAGGATGCAAAGCGGTTATTGAGGCACTTGATCTGCTCCTTCTCATCCCTTTTCACCCTCTGTACTGTTGGGTCAATCTCCAGTGCCAGTGGGACCAGAAGACTCTCATTAATGGTAACAGGAGTGATGCAAGTAGAAGGTCCACAGGTGACCCCTGCTCGGTACCCAAAGCCAGGCAGGCCACACCTGGAAGCCACTCGAGGCCTCCGGCAGCTCACATTGCACAGGCTCCGGGAACCAAGGCAGCCCAGGACTCGGAGACCCCCGCCACTGCTAGGCCGGCATGGCCCCTTGCTCACTTCGTAGTGGGTGACCATCCGGGGCATGACAGCAGAGCATGAGCTGAAACTTCGACTGCCACACCTGGAGCCCATTTGGAAAGAGTGGAACGACATGATAGGACTGAGAGCCAGAGAGATGGAGCCCTGCAGGGGAGAACAGGGGACAGGAGTGACCAAATCATGGCCCAGCTTCTCCTCTTTTATATAGCAGGGGACTGGAGGGCTAGGCTGGATCAAACCCCAGATCACCATTAAATCAGGTTTATGAGCTTGGTATATTAGCAGCTGCTAAGTAGCAGGGTGGATAATTAGGGTAGCAAAGAGCAAAGAGAAGGAGCCAATGGTCAGTGCTGGTGGTCCTATAAAATTTCTATTTGTCCTCTTTCCTTGTTTACAAGGGCAAGGAGAGGAGCCAACCAGAATGCTATGTTTTGACCTGTCCAGTGGCTCAGCCTTGAGGAAAGGGAGAATAGGACTTTTTCGCTCAATTGGAGGGAAGGGGCCTGAATTATATACCCTAAATTCCCTGGGATTAGAGAGCAGAGTACACATGCTGAGGATGCTCTATTTGTTCAAGCCTATCTCTGTGTCTTCCTCCAGGTCCTCCAGACTCAAGTGCCCCTGTGACCTCCTCAGCGGGCCCAGAAGCTCTCAGGGAGAAAAGCTTTTAGGGTGGGAGAAGCCTCTATTCTACAGACTGGACCTTTTCCCTTTTCAGGATTGGGGGCTCCAGATCTGGTACAACAGCCCCTGCCTGGGATTCTGTGTTGCTACCTGGAGTCTCTCTGAGTAGATGGAGCCAGTACTGGCCTGCTGACATCTCTGTGAACAATTGCTCACAGGAATGCTTTAGAAGGATGTGGGATTCTGGCTTTCTTCCTAGCACCAGGTCATAGACAGATCTTTGCAGATACCTGAAACCCCCCTCCTTCCTATTTTTTCTTCTTTCTGTGCCTCCCAGCAGTAACCTCTGCTGGGCTTACTGGCCTTGTCCTCGTAATCTTTGTTTCCAGGTCAAAATCAAGCCAGTGATAATAGTAACACTGATTGGGGATTTACTATGTGTCAGGACCACCCTGGGTGCATCTATTATCTCATATAATTCTTAGGAAAACTCCATGATGTAGTTACTGTTGTACAGATAAGGAAAGTGAGGAGTGGAGTGGTAAATAGCTGTGTCCTCAAGTTGCCTAGTTTGTCGATGTTAAGCTGGGATTGAACTCTGTACTTCTGACCTCGCCATGCTCCACTGATCTAGAGAACAGAAGCCTGAGGTAGGATTGGTGAATCTGCTTTCCACATGCTTTATGCTCCTCCCCTTTCCCACCTGTAGATTAGACTGGAACTCAGATGGTTTTGTGCCTTGGAAATTCTCAATCTAATTATGCCATTTCACACTGTTCCCCTTTATCACAGTTCTGGTTTGGGTCCTGGAGCAAGGATTGTAATGAGAGACCTGGGAGATAGTGGGAGGCAGAGGGAGGGGACTGGGATGCTGTCTTAGTCATCTTTCCCACTACTGGGACAAAATATCTAACATCTACAACATGAAGGAGGAGACGTTTATTTGGCTCACGGTCTCAGAGGGTTCAGCCCATGGTCAGCCGACTCCCAGGCAGAAACATCATAGTGGAATGGTGTGGCAGAGAAAAACTGCTCAACTTATGACACCCAGGACCCAGAGAGGAGGAGAAGAATGAAGAGGAAGGGGTCAGGGACCAGATTTTGTTCTCCAAAGACACAGCCCCATTCCCCACTTCCTCAGACTAGGCCCTAACTTCCTCCAGCTATTAATTCCCCCACAGATTAACCCATCAATAAGGTTAGTGCCCTCACAACCCCATCATCTCTCCAGGGACCTCTTAATCCAGCCAAGTTGAAAATTAAGATCAACCATCACAGATGTGATTGCCCAGTGTCAGAGAAGGAGCTGGTGTGAGTGGTGATGCAATGTGAGAAGCCTGACCAGAGAACAATTCCCACTTGAGGGGAAAAGTGAAGTAGCTGGCAGGGTCATCAGGACAGGGTTCAATGGAGCAATCCAAACACAGCAGAGCTCCTCCACCTTAACCAGGCGATAGCCTCAGTAACTGGGTTGGGAGGCTGGAAGCCCAGGACCAGAGCTCAGAAACAGAAGATAGGATGCTTCATCAGGTTCATAGTGGGCAAAAAGCAACTGCCCTCACAGCCCACCAGTTCTGAAGCTGCTCCTGGCTATGTTAGAGAATGCTGACTCAGTCAAGACCTAGAGTGCTCAGCAACATTTTATCGAAGCTACTTCAGGAAATAGGCAAGCATAAGTGAGCAAATACTTTGAAAGGTTTGATTTATCTTTGAGAATTGAGTCTTCATGTTGGCTATGTGGCAGATGACCTCTTTGCCTCTGGGGTCTTGAAGTTATGGTGGGTAAGTTCTTTTGGTCTTGAAGTTATCGCAGGTGTTTGAGGGTTGCAACTCTTTAAACTAAATGGAATCTAACCATGAAGGCCAGCTTCACAAAGACCTCCACGTGGCCACCTCCTTATTCCCCTGAACTTTCCCTCTGTTGCTTTGGAGGGGCTGAGCATCATGCCTCTCACAGGGAGGGACACGCCAAAGCCAGGTCTGCCTCACTCCTCTGAGCTCGCCAACTCTTGGCCCTTCCTCCTGGACTTAGGCAGCTTTGTTCCAGGGTGGGGGACAGGAAAATCCATGCAGCACAGAGAAACTATAGAGGCTGGGAGGTAGAAAAGAAAGGTGGGAGACGGAAGAGCAGGAAACATGGTACCAAAGAGAGAAATAAAGGAGAGGAGAGGAAAGGTAGGTACTGAGAGAGAGGATGCATGGGATGGTGGAGGATGGCAGAGAATGAAGAGAAGGTGAAGAGGGAGGTGGAAAGGGCAAGTGTACAGGAAAAAAGAAAAGGCCTGGGCCAGGAGCTTTATTTGGTAGGAGCACTCTTATAGGGCAATTCTTCGTACAGGCCAATTGGAGTCTCCTTTTTCTGATATATTTTCTGCAGGCATTTTGGGCTGAAATGCTTTCCCCTCCATCTCTATGAATCTGCCTCCTACCCACTCATCACCAGAGCATTTATGCTTAGGGGAAACAATTCTAATACTGGCTTGAATGAGGCAGATTTGGAAGGAATTTGGCTCTGAACTATCATTTAATGCAGCTGCAAGTCAAGGAGTACTTTTGGGTTCTTGATAAAATTAAACCATGGTAGTATGAATAATCCAGAGTTGGTAGTATTTTAAAGGATGTTAATTTCTCATTCAAATATTCTGCTAGTTGGCCCGGGGATTTAGCTCAGTGGTTCTGCTGCCTGCCTCGCAAGTGCGAGGTCCCGAGTTTGATCTCCAGTACCAAAAAAAAAAGAAAGCAGGTGACATCGTAGACTTGCCCGTGGATTAACAAATATTCTGCTAGTGAGGGGTCAGGGGAATTGGCTGGGGGCCTCGGCAGGGACAAAAAAGAAGGGAGGGAAGATAGGCAGTGTGTATGGCAGGGTTTGCAGGAAGTGTCCTGCTTGTGGAAAGAAACAACACATAGATACTACGGTCTAGGCTGCACTTGACATCTTTGGGCCACTGGGGTGAATTCTAAGGTCTCTGAGAAGGACTGAGCAAGAGGAATTGTCTTGTAGTTGCAGTGGGTCTGGGTCAGACAGGAGGAGGAAGACTTCAGTGCATCACCTACTACCTAATTTCAAAGTGCTAATCCAGGTCTTTACCTAGAGAACTTGAGTCAGTGTGGGCAAGAATAGGCCCTGGAGGGTCTGACATCAGGAATGGGTAGGCTTTCTCTGTGGGGATCTCTCTGGAAGTAGAGGGATGGACAAGGAGACCTAAACACTTCCTGGCCACTTGCTGCTCCTGTGCCTCCTGCTATAGATTCTGTGCATGGAGTGTGAGCAAAGCATCGGGTCTTAGGGCTGGAAAGCTGAAGGCCTGGTGTGGCAGAGGATGTAGGCAGCACTTTAGCTCCTGCAGCTCTTCTTGGTGGACGATGTCTTGGAGATGATGTGCATGCTGGAGCTGGTGCTGCTGAGGCTGTGGCCACTGGTAGAACTGAAGCTGCTGTCCCCAGTGGCGCTGTAGCAGAGGCCACCACTGTAGCCACCCCCACCCACACAGAAGCCGCTGCCTCCACTGTAGCCTGTGCCACCAGAGGAAGAAACCACAGCTGTGAAGAGAAGACAAGGGCATGTTGGCATGTTCTGAGTTTTTTCACAATGCCCTCCGGTCTTCAAGGTCACACTTGCCAGAAACTAAGGCTTTAGGCTCCTGGGCTATGTTTGTTCCTCCTGTCTACTAGGAGGCTCTCATGTTGGATAGACTATGAGGCCTCAGATTCAAGGACAGCACCATAGACTTCCATGTTGGAAGAGGCCCATAGGCCATGTATTGGAATACCCCCCAGTATTGGAATCCATTCAACTATGTGACCAGAGGCAATCCATTAAGATCTCCCCCAGTGTTTTCAGTGACTGGGAGCTCACCCCCTGAGAAGGCGGGGCCCTGCTCTGTGAAACATGCTGCCATTGCTCTGCCTTCTGCTCCAAGTCTGCTCTTCCCTGGGAAGTGCTCCTGCTCTTTGTGTCAAGTGGTCGCAGGCTCCCCAAGCCCCGCTCTTGTGGCCTCACCCACTTGGGGCTTTTGCAGCCATGACCAGGACTCAATGCTCCTACCTAGGATGCTGAGTTTTTCAATACCCGCTTTGCCCTGGGTGGGAAAGTCAGTCCTAAGATTATCCCTCCTGGTCTCCTGGGAGTCCAGGCCAAGCCCGGCCAGTCACTGTTTTACTTGCTCAATTAATTTGCTTAAACTCTAAATACAGATCTTTACTTTTCACCTGCTTCCAGGCCCCTTGTTGTGTTAAAGTTTCTGAAGAACAGCTGAGAATTCAACCATTCAGCAACCTAGGGGCCATTACTGATTGAGCAGTTCCATCCCATTATAGGATTCTCTGGGGTCAGGCTGGAGTCCATGTGACCACACTGTGACCACCCCAAGGGGTGAGGAGTCACTGCAGAGAAACTCCCCCAAAATTTTGTCTCAGAATGATGAGAAAGTCATGGAGCTCTGCTGTAATTTACTCCTTAGGGACATGGACTGTCTCTACTCTGAGTTCTCTCGACACCACGAGAGGAAGGGCCAAAGAGCAGGGGGGTCCCCACAGAGCCCTTAAGAAGGTCTTGATGACATCCATGCCCCAGTGTGTCATTTTCTAGCCACTGAATCCTAATTAGTGCTGCCATTAGCTCCTGTTTCGCTACTCACTCTTCTATCATCCCAATATATTTACTCACAGATGTTAACTGATCCAACGCCTTCACCAGTGTGAGCACACTGTAAGCACCAGTGAGTCTGTGGCAGGTGGAAAGAGAAAGAGACACATCATTTGCCGAGAAGTTAGAGGCCCTGGGCTCTTTGTATTTAAAGTTATTAGCATTCAGTGTGTCCTACGTGCCAAGCACTGTGCTTAAGATTTCCATTCAACTCTGTAGCATTAGGGAGGTCCAAATATATGAGGGAAAATCGAGAGAGATCAAGTTAAAATACATAGAGAAGTAGGGGGAGGGACTTGTGCTGATGAGGTGGAGTGAGATCGATTGTAGGGCATCTCTGGAGAAACTTGGAAGTCCTGAGGCTGGTCCCAAATGTGGCCATGTTCATTTTAGGGCCTGGGTAGAAATGGCCCTGCTTGGAGCCTTTCAAGTGGCCCTGACCACCTCTTCCTGACACCTTGACCCTGACCCCTGTTTTGGTCCAGGAGGAGTTACAGGAAGAGCTGTGATTACAGAGAGCCTCTAGAAGAATAGTTGGATTTTCACCCTGTTTCTGGCCCTGCACTTGCTATCTGGGGGCCTGATATTGTGGGACCCACGTGGTCTCTGTGGCACTACTATCATGCTCTAGTGGCATCTGTTTGGGCCATGGTGGGACAGAAATGGCTCACCTGTGCTCCTCACCCTCCAGCAGCTTGCAGTAGGTGGCGATCTTGATGTCCAGGGCCAGCTTGACGTTCATGAGCTCCTGGTACTCACGCAGCAGCCTGGCCATGTCCTGCTTGGCCTTCTGCAGGGCATCCTCCAGCCCTGCCAGTTTGTTCCTGGCATCCTTGAGGGCCAGCTCCCCGTGCTCCTCAGCATCAGCGATGGTGGCCTGGAGTGTGGTGCACTGCAAGCAGGAGACAGACACTATGACACTGTTCACAGGGCGTGCAGTAAGATGTGGGCTCTGGTTTAAAAATAGGGAAGGGTTCCTTACAATTGACTTAATGTGCAGGTTCAGGGCATCATGTTTAAAAAGAAGCCTGTTCTCTATCCCCTTTAATATTTTAGACTGCTGGGATGAGAAAAACAGCTTTCTGAGGTCCTTCAGTACTGCCTTTCCCTGGATATTGGGTGCTTCAAGCAAGGTGAGCTTGACTATCTGTGGCTCCAGAGGTGAAGGGGCCTGATAATGTGAATGGCACTAGGTGAGTGCCATTTGCATTTTGGAGGCCACTCGTATGTGAGGCTTCTTTCTACATGGGCTGAGTTAGACCCAGGCCCAGGTCTGGCCCCTGGAGCTCAGCCCTACTTGCTTCTTCAGGTTGTCAATCTCCGAGCTCAGCCTCTGCATGGCGCGGTTCAGCTCAGAGATCTCCATCCTGGTGGTGCGGAGGTCATCCCCGTGCTGGCCAGCGGACCACTGCAACTCCTCATACTGGGAGGAAGAACAAGCAAACCTCAGTGAGGGCAAGGGATGCTTGCAGCAGGCAGGGGCAGGCAGGCCACAGGACAGAAGGCTGCAGTTTCTGGGCTGGGCAGACTTTCAGTGCTTGGAGACTCCTGGCTTTGTCTCCACCGTACTCTAATCTATTTGCCTTGTCTCTTGCGCTGTCTCTCATTCTACATCTCCACAGCCTTCACCCCAGGGTTGGACAGCTGTGCTGTGTTCTATTCCTTCTTCCCATACACAGCCTCTCTTCCCTCTCACTCTACTCGATGCATCTCACTCTTTCAGACTCGTCATCATGCAGGGTGCCCATCCCTTTGTGATTTTAAAGTTCCTTCATAGTTGTTTGTTTTGATACCACATCTCATCATTCCCAAAGACTCCCTGGCTCAGAGTGTCTGTTCCAACCTGGGCAATCTCACTCTGACCCACATCTAAACTTTGCCTCCCAGTGCCCTGGCCCCAGGCAGCTCTACCTCCCTTCTCCATCCCTCCAGCCTTTCCCAGGAAGTGCCAGATCTTCCTCTTCTCTCCACCTTCTCTCTCTCTTTCTCCTGTCAGCCCCAAGGGCTAGAACTGTCCAATTGTGCCTGTCTTTCTGATACAGAGGATTGAAGGTGTGTGTCCATCTGTCCTGGCAGAGGGACCTGCCACCTTCTGCCTGAATCTGGCAATTTCCCTAGCTCTTGATGATGCTGCCCCAAGGCAGGGCTCAGAACAGAGTGAGCCTCAAACTTAACTCAGATCCCTGGAGCCCACCAGACTGGGTCGTTTGAGAGGACCTTAGCTAATTTGTCTTTGAAACCTCTGGTCTCTGTGCTTTTTTTTTTGTATATCCTTTTATTGGTACATTTTAGGTGTACAATATAATGACATTCATCATTGGAGATATGCACCTTTACATACTCTCTTGGTTCTTATTTTTTCCCCTTCCCCTGCCCTCCCTTCAACCCCTCCATCCCTCCCTATTTACAAAGACTTTGTTTCTACTTTTTCATTTTTTCATATTAATTCCATTCCCTTCTTTCCTTTCCCCTACCTGTGCTTGTTTAATTAACTTGACCCTGATGTCTCACCTTGGTCTGGTACCAGGATTCAGCCTCAGCCCAGCTGCCGTTGGCGATCTCCTCATACTGGGCTTTGACCTCAGCGATGACGCTGTCCAGGTCCAGTCTGTGGTTGTTGTCCATGGACAGCACCACAGAGGTCTTGGAGATCTGAGCCTGAAGCTGAGCCAGCTCCTGTGATTGGGCTGAATGGAGAACTGAGGCAAGACACTAATGTGAGTGTGCTTGAGCATGTGTGTGTGTTTGTGTGTGTGCACATGTGTGTTGGAAGACTGTGGCCCATCCCAGGACAGACCCTAGCATGGAGAGTCTTATACTGTTGGGGCAGAGCTCCATGCTTAGGTATGAAAGGGTGGGGTGGGGACATTATGGATGCCACTGAGTTTATAGCTGCTCTTTATCATCAGCTCATCTGCACAGGGAGCAGCACTGGTAACTCCAGCTGGAATTCTCCAGAAGCCACTCCCATTGTCAAGGGAGCACACCCTACTATAAGTGTCAGTGCTGCAATGTCTCATGCTCTGAAAAAGCACTGCCCTTCAGAGCACCTAAACACATCATCTTGGGAAAGAAAGGTAAGTCGGAAGGGGCCAAACAACTTTGCAGCATCTCTTTCCTGTTTCCCAACTTTGCTGCTCTCTGTTTCTCTGGAACAGAAAATGGAAATTAACTTGAAACAGAAAGGACATCAGACTGAGAAACCCACAAATCAGTTCTGCGGAGCAAGTTTAGAGCAAGCCCTGGGGCTCAGAGATGCTAATCACAATACAGGCCTTGCACAGGTTCTGTGAGGATTAAACAATGTCTATATTGTTGGGCTCTGAACAGTAAAATCATGATTAATTTCCTACTGATCTCTTTTCAGCATGACCCAAAGCCTCGATTCTCTAAATGTGACCTCAGACTGGCAGCATCAGCCTTACCCACCTGGGAGCATGGTGGCAATGGACATCCCAGCCCCAGACTTCCTGAGCCCCAGATAGTATTCTAACAAGACCACCAGGAGGGTCATGTGCTTTGGAGTCTGAGAGTTGCTAGTCTGAAATCTAAGCAAAAGTACACCTTTGCCTTCTGAGTTCCCAATTGGTCCATACATTTACTGTTTTAGCAAAGTACTATTTTATAGTTCTTGTGCTATAGTTTATGTTTCCTAAATAATTTCTCTCACTGACTTCTCTGGGGTGTCTCAGTTCCATGGGCTTGCTGGGCAATGGGCCAGGTCAGAATTAGGAGCCAATGCCACCCTAGTTTCGATAGTGAAGGGACTAGGCAGAGCAAACAAAGCCTTGTGGTCCTATATGAGCTCTGAGATGATCACTGAAGCCACTCAAAGACCAGGAGGTGATGCTCCTGGTTCTGGGACAACATGGCAGGCTTGTGTTGGGCACCAAATGTAGGTAACCCTATGGGAAAACTGTCTGGCCTGGAGGTACACATCCCACCCTGTACCCCCACCTTGGCACTGCTGTCCTATCTCCTCAGCCAATCTAGACCTTGCCTGCGGGCACTTGTATCCTTGTTCCCCATGGCTTGGACTCTCCTTTCTTGCCAATATGGTCTACTGTCATTTTCATGCCTGAAATGGTACAGTTATTTGGTTATTTCTTCACTGCCTGTCTCCTCTACTATAAGATAAGACCTAAGAACTTAGGGGCTTCACTGTGTTTGTCCAGTGCCATCCCTGAAGCCTGGAGAACAGTGGTCTGGTGTACAGAGGCGCTCAACAAAAATGTGTCTTCTGGAGGAACACAGAGTTGTGTTTCTAGAAACAGCCGGAAGCGTTCTAATTGCCACTTGATTTGCATAATCTCATCATTTTGCAGTCTGTCTAGGAAGCAGCAGGTTGGGCAGGGCTGGGCTGGGCAAGCCCAGCTGTTCACAGTGATGCAAAAAGTATGCGCATTGTAATGCCTGGCAGCCTGTACTTTTGTTGGCCCAAATGGGTCCAAATTGCTGAGGATGAGCTTTTCAGCTCTCCTGCCCTGCCAGTGGCCCCAGGAAACCTCATTTTCTCCTTTGTAGGGAAAGCAGCATCTGCCCTCATGAATTATAATCCATAGATGGGGTGAGGAGCTGGGGGAAGGGCAGGGAAGGAGCCAGCAGCCTCTGTGTTCAGCTGAGGTCTACAGCCCTCCCAAGGGGGAAGAGCAGGCCCTCTTACCGCCTTGTAGAAAGCTCTCAGGAAGTTGATCTCATCCATCAGGGCGTCTACCTTGGCCTCCAGCTCCACCTTGTTCATGTAGCCGGCATCCATGTCCTGGGCACAGAACATGCTATCACCCTGGGGATCACCCTTCCTGAGTTAGCCAGCTGCCTCTGTGTTTTAGAGGGACAGCTTCAGCTCCTAGGGGAGGACCTGGTTGTTGCTCCTCCTCCCCACTTCTAAGGGTGCTCTGTTTTTCATCCAGCTGAGCCCCTGATTAGGGTCCTCCCTCCCTCAATGGTCCTGCCAGGGAGGAAGGCCTGAATTTCTGTGGTCTGATCTACACACCAGCCCTGTCTTCTGAGCCTGGCTGGATGTCCAGGAGACTAAGTTCAAGTCCATTTTGTCCTCCTCCAACCTCATTAGGAGATTTACAGCTCACACTTGGGAGTTCCGGATCCTGACCCACTTCTGATTTATCTGGGTAACCCTGGGCAATGGACTTGTCTCTTTTAAGTAAAACCTGCTTCCAAGAGTTGTTGTGCAAAGAAAGGCCTGGTAGGGAAGGCCACTGTAGCATAAGTGACAGTTTGTGACCCCAAGAGCCTAGGAGTGGGTAAAGCATCTCTGTCTCCTCACCTTCTTGAGTACTACAAACTCGTTCTCGGCTGCTGTGTGCCTGTTGATTTCCTCCTCATACCTGCAGGAAGGTTGGGGGATAGGGGATTAGGAGGGAGATTGGGAATGAGATGGGAACCATAGAGTTTCAGGCAGGCAGGTGGGTCTCTAGAGCAGCCTTGGAAATTCCACTGTAAGATAGCTCTCCTGATGTGTCCCCAAATCACAAATCAAAGAACCCCCTGCCCCACAAAACCCAAACTGAAAACAACCACAGAGCAGAACCATCCCTCCTTTTCCTGAGGTGTCTGCTCACTGCCTGGCTCCTCGGAGTACTTAGGTCCCCTTAAAGAGCATGCATGTTTCCTCTTTTTTAAAAATGGGCTTGCCTCAATCTAGAGGCCATAAGGGAAAAAGCAGAGAGAAGGGTAAGAGGTGGCAGCTCTTGGGCTCTGGCCTGGCTCCTGCACACCATGTGGCCCTCATGTCCCCTCACTGGTCTCAAGCATCTGAACTGGGATGCAAGAAGCAGAGTGGCCAGGCTTATAGATGCCCTTCTTCCTCAGGTTTCTTTTCTCTTCAGTTTGCCCCTAGATAGAAACCTCAACCCTGTGTCTGTCCCCAGGGGTGTGTGGTGGTGCCCATTGCTCACTAGACCTTGGGGGAGAAAGTTGCCCTTCTGGTCTAGTTGATCCATTCTCCACTCCAGCTGCCTCAGCATCAGTCAGTCTCACCCTCTTAGCTGTGCTGGACACTGCAGTTTGAACCTGTGCTCATCCACCTCAGCTGAGTCATCTTGGGCAGCTTATGGTGCCCCAACCCTGGCCTCTTGGAGGTGCTTTCCCATCTATGAGACAGCAAGTCTCTATTCCTTCACAACCACAGAGCATGAACCCACATTATGTCATTATGTATACCATCTGAAGCTCCCTGCTTTCATATTGCCTCCAGTGCCTAGTCTGCTCTGAAAATCTTTCCTGCCATTGAGACATCAGTGCTGTTTGTGCTTTCTCCTACATTCTATTCAGCACCATTGGTGTTCCTTATTGTTTTCTCAAGCTCTTTTTGATGAAATAAGAACATTTTTCTTCCACTAATTCCATGCAACTGTCCTCATCTCTTGTTTCCGAGCTCATAGTCCCTCTGGTGCACAGGCTACTCGGACCCCACAGGAATCTGATCTGGCCATTTACTAGGATCATACACTTTAGCACATGCCCTGCCATATCCCTCCTGGTGCCCTCTTCCTTCTCAACTTGGAGCTTTAGTCCTTTCCCCAAGGAAGACTTCTTGGAGAAAAACATTGTTATACCATGTTTGCAAACATATTATAAAATTGTCATCTGCAATCAACTCTTGTGACTGTATCATTACACACTTATAACTAACCACAACTACAGTAAAATAGCTGACCCTTACCAACTTACTATGTGTCAAGCACTGGGCACCTTATTAAGTACTTTTGATGCACTTTGATACATATGAAAAGTGAAGCTTACGGAGGTTAAAGAGTTTTCTTGAGGCCATTCATCTTAATAGATGAATGTGCCACTGACTAGATTATATAGCACTATCACAGAGCTTTCTGTTTTGTATTATCATGGGAACATGAGAGCCTGACTTTCCTCATCTACGGTCATGTACATCCTGCTCTCTGTACCTATGTTAGTCATCATCATCTGTAGCTTACACCTTCCCAAAGCTTCAACAATCTTGATCCCAGGGCCCCGGTTCTCTTTCTACCCCCATTCCCAAAGTGTGCATCTCATTGCACATTGGTCTAGGCACATCTGGAGAGAGGAGCTGGTTTCACTTGCTTCCCTGGGCTTCCCCATTGCCCCAGGGCCAGGCTCTGGCCCAGGAGCCGGTTGGGCACCCACTCGCTTGCTCTTGAAGTCCTCCACCACATCCTGCATGTTCTTCAGCTCCATCTCCAGTCAGCCCCGCTCTCCTCCCAGGCAGTCTAGCTGTCGTCTCAGGTTGTTGATGTAGACTTCAAAGATGGGCTCGAGATTGGCCCTGGCAGTTTTTTGGTCTTGGAGGAGGCTCCACTTGGTCTCCAGGACTTTGTTCTGCTGCTCCAGGAAGCACACCTGTCCAGCCAGAGGTAAGAGACTGTGAGGGCTTCCATGAGGGCAGCCTCAAGAGGCCTCCCAGAAAAGGGCCCCTCAACAATGTGAGGGGCTTTGCACAACAAGCTCAGGGTTCAGGTGGCAGACTCCTCCTCCTCCACTTTATTCTAGGCTACAAGGAGCATGGGATATAGAGAGCCAAGCCCAAGTACGTGCAGGGGGCTTGGGAGACAGGTGGTGGTTTGGTTTGGAGAGGGGAGAACTAGGGAGGACCAGAGGGGATGGAAGCATTGGAAGACAACAGACCTGCTGTTTTGTGGTGAATCAAGAAAAAAGCACTCCACCATCGTGTTATTGGTGAGATTTTGCTTCCTATTAAGTGGATAGGAGCTTGTGGCAGAAAATTCCACCTGTCAATTTTGTTTATGACAAGATTTCTCAGGATCTAGGATCTGGTCTCAGTTGCCTGCACATTCCAGAATGTATTAGAATGGGTCACCCTGGAGTTGCATTTGAGCCATGTCTTTCACTAGCCATAAGACCCTCGGCAAGACCCTTCCTTTCTCTGGTCTCAAGTCCCTTGTGATCTTGTGCTGCTAGTTTGGGTTTCTTGAATTAGCACCATCTGATTCTCAGCCTGGGAGTCAGGCTTGGGAAATATGAACAACCATCTCCTTAAACTAAACCTTTCCACTGGAAGGAACCTGCAATGACACCCACCCTCAGAGAAAAAGGGACCAGCATCTCCATAACTTTGGAGATGGCCATATCCTCACAGATGATCTTTAACAAATGCATCTTTTCTTGTCTGGCACTCTCACTGTCAGAGGAAGGAGAATGATCTGGTTCTAAGTACATCCCTAATCCCATGCTCTCTTGTTTCTCACTTCCTCCAATGAACTAGGGAAAAGCAAGGCTCAAATTCTTTCCTGCAAAGTAAGACTACCGAAAGTCTTGCCTCTATTGGTACAACCCAAGCCAGGAGGGGTGACATGAGTGACAAAGCTAAAGAGCCAGAGTCTCAGCAGTGCCTTACATCTGCACATTTCGTGATCTCATTCATAAGATGAAGCATCATACCCTTCTATACCTGTAAAAGGGACCTTAGAGTCCTTGAGCAGTGACTCTCCCAGGAGTAGATCCAAAATTGGAACTTAAGTCTGGTTGCCTCTTAGCTCAGACTCTTTCTTTCAGATCCCAGGCACGGAGCCTGAGTGATCTGGATCCTTGAGTTGGTTCTTCCCAGTTCAAACCAAACAGCTCAGGTGTGTGGTGGTGGTTCCTATCATGCAGGGGTTCTCCCAGAGCAGGAGAATCCCTTGGATCTCAGGCCATGCAGCAGGTTGGGATTCAGGCTAAGGTCATAAATTTTCTTTTACTCAAGGACATGTGCTAAATGCTGTGAGTGTCCCTTCACCACTCACCCAGCTTCCCAGATATGCTCACTTCCCAGGGAGATGCCTACTACTGCAGGAGGACACTAGTGCTGATTAATTTGGCACCCAGCCCACTCCCATGAGTGTATCTTTCATCCCTTTGTCTCCTTGCCTCTAAACCGACCTCAATGTGCTAATTTTAAGCCAAGCCAATCATCACTGGCCATCAAAGAACAATGTCTTTGTAGTAGGTCAGAGAGCTCTCAGGGCTAGAGATGGACATTTTTTAGCTTCTACCTCAACAAAATGGAAAACCACCCTTTCCTCCTCCCTATCATCATAGTACTCAGCCCCAGGATCACAGGGCTGGGGAAGCCACAGTTGACCTCAGAAAAGCACAGAAAGCATAGACCCATTGGTGGTACACTGCTGCTTTCCTGGTGGGGACTCCACTGGCCCCTCACCTTGTCGATAAAGGAAGCAAACTTGTTGTTGAGGGTCAGATGCAGGGGTGTCAGGAGACTCTGGTTGACAGTGACCTCATGGATGCCCTCAGCTCCAGGGACCATTCCGCCTCCAAATCCATATCCACCAAAGGCTTCCCCTGCTCTGTACCCTATGCCACCAATACCTAGCCCACAGCTAGCACCCCCAAAGTTTCTCCGACTAGAGTGGTAACCCCCATTGATGGAGATTCTTTTGCTGCCCCCAAAGCCCTGGAGGCTTCTGGTCCCAAAGCCTCCCCTTAAACCACCTCCAATGCTCTTCCTGCTCTGGGGCACAGAGACAGAGCTGAAATTGGGTCAACATCCTGGGAGAAGGCTGGCTGAGGAAGTGCTGAAGTTCTGAGTGCCCCCCGACTTGATGGTGACAGATGATCGCTGGGTCATGATAGGAGCTGGTGTCAGAGGGTAGCAGAAAAAATTGTCAAAGGAATGAGTAGCCTTCAAAGAATAGCTGTCCCAGACTCCGCTTGACTTTTATTCTTTTGAGAACTGGGCTTGGCTGGAGGAGATCAAAGACCACTCAGCTGAATTCACCTCAATGGCATGTCTGGCCACAGCCCATCTTCCTGTCCCACTAATCACCATGGGGAACACCCTAGCCAGGCAGGACCGGGCCTGAGGATTCAAGCCTGTAGCAGGTCTGGATTCCAAGCCCCCCACCCACCCAGGTTCCCAGCCTCATGCCATGGACACTCCCCTTGTTTCTCTGAAGCTTCATCTTTTATTCCTAGGTCTCAGGCTCTGAACCTAGGCACCTGACTAGGTGGATGTGAATATATATAAATATATATTTGTTCCTGAGGATTCAGCCTGTGCCACACCATCCATGTTTTAGCAGGTCTGCCACAAGCATTGTTTTATTTGATTCTCATTACTTTGTGAGAGTGGATGATAAAAGTAATTATTGCTGATTTTTTTTTACAGATACTATGGGTAGTAGTTGCCTTATGCCTCTCTTCTCATTGACTATGGCATATTTGTTCTTGTTCTGCACATGGCGCAACTGAAGCAGAGTAGTTAGGCAACTTAGCTAAGGTCACATAGCTGGTGACTCTTGGGCCCTGTATTACATGGTCAGAATCTTTGTTTCTTGCTCAGCTGGGGAGTCAGGTCTCCAGAGGAGAGATGGTTTGTTCAAGGGGAGCAGCAACCAGGACTTTACTCCAAATTCCTCTCTATTGTTCTCAATCCTGGTTTTAACTTGCCCTTCCCCTGGGAACTGGGGATTTAACAGTTTTCTCAGTGACGTTTCTCCTTCCCATGACCCTCGCCCTTTCAACCACTCCAAACTTTAGCCCTTCTTTTGCTCTTAACTCCCTTCTGTCCTGTGGCCTCTCTCTTCTGCCCTTTGACTTCCTGCTCTGCACTATTAGCATTTTCACAGCCCTGGTTTGCAGCTCCCCTGTTTCCAACTTGGTCTGGAGCCCTGAGTCCACCCTCTCAGCCCACCTGGCCACAGTCTGGGTCAGTCCACTAGGGGAGGGGTCCAGACACTCATAAAGTCAGGAATGTGGGTGTCCTTCCTGGATGTCTCATAGCTCTTGCAATTATGGGATAAATGGTTCCTGTGCCTGGCCCCAGGGCTGACTATTAACTCCTCTCTCTGGCCTGTTATTTCTCTGCTCAGGCCTGCAAATTTGAAGCTGTCAGGGAACAATCAGCCCCTTTGCAGGCAGAGGCCGGGGCCGCCCACCCTGTGTCAGTGTCCCAGGAGCACAGTCTGGTTTTGGGAGAGGAAGGCATCGCCCTGCATGACATACTGAGCAGGAGGCTAGGCAGGGCTTCTGCTCAGAGCCTCTGGCTTCTCAAAGAAGGCATCCCAGGGAGAGGTAAGAAGTGGATCGAGAGTCTGACAGTCTCCTGCCTCCCCTGCACATTTGCGGCCCCTGTCTCTCCCATCTTCCTGTCCCCCTCCTTAGCTTCCATCACTCAGGTGGGCTGACCTGCCTTGTTGAGCAATTTGCCTGTGCAGCCCCATTCTTGGGCAGCCTGAGGAAGGAGGAGAATTGTTCTGGCCTCATCACCATCACAAACAGAAGGCCGGATGCCAAACATATTACACATGCATTTAATAGACACATTCTGGGAAGGGAACAGAGGTGCACTCATTCTTCCAGCAGCTTATAAGCACCCTGAGACAGGCGGGCACAGCTTGGCATTGAGATGGCCTTAGAGACACAGGCTCCCCATCACTGCATCTGGATGTGGTACTGAAGGGGCATTTGCAGCCTGCCTGGGCCTCACAGGAGAAGCTGAACCAGAAGAGAGTAGGCTTGGGTTTGCAGGTCTAGCACAAAGAGGTGTCAGGAGTGGCCTGGGGACTGCAGGAAAAGCAGGGGCTGCCTCAGGCCAGGGAGTGGGGTTTAGCCAGAATGCCAGGCTTCCCAGCAGTACAGGTGAGGTGGTGAAAAGGAGACCAGGAGAAGGTGTCCTAGTAGGAGTGCAAACAGGCATTGAGGCAGGGGTGAGGAAGCCTGTGGCCACATTTAGTGCTTGTAGTTCTTCCTGCTGGAGGACTTGGTGGAGATGAACTTGACCCTAGAACCACTGCCCCCTAGGCCCAGGCTGCTACTGGCAGTGAAGCCAGAGCCCCCCAGGCCTGTGCCCAGGCTGTGCCCACCGCTGGTAGTGAAGGAGTAGCCATTGCCTCCACCAAGACCAAGGCTTCCACCTGCAATGCCACTGCCACTGCCATAGCCACTGGAAATGGTGGAGGTAACCACAGCTGCAGAAGAGAGGACATGGTCAGAATCACAGGCAGGGGAGAAGACACCTCAGGCTGTCAGGGCATGTGCCCTGAACTCCCTGGTGTGGGGATGGAGTGGTCTTGGCAGGCATCTGTTTGCTTCATTGTAGTTTCTGCCTGCCCTGCCCCACCTGTTGCATGCTAGAGTAGATGTTCTCCCAGGCTGGAATGGTGTTCTGCCTCCTCTTTGCTTCTTAGTGACTCCCTTCTCCTTTCAGAACCTATTGGAGACTTCTCTCCTCCCAGAAGCTGTTTCCCTTTGATTGCTTCACAGTCTCCCCCACTGTACTCTCTGGTCCTGGGTCCCTCTGCATGCCTGGATCTGGAGCTCTGTTTTTCTTCTGTAAGCTAATAGAGGACCACACATGCTCTTCCCTTGGCATCCCCCATCTAGGGGACTCGGCATCCCAGATGGGAGCTGGAATATTCTCGATATACCAAAGACAGACCTATTGGCCAGTCAGCTCTGACCCCTTTTCTTCTACAAACCTATTCTTCTCACTTATAAACACATCACCTTAAATTTTCTAGTACTCCACTTTGGGCTTTGCAGAAAGAAAGCTGAAATGGAAAATGAGCTACAATAGGTTTATTATGTCCTCCAAAAAAACCTGTGTTGAAGTCCTAACCCAAAGTAAGTGCAAGTATGACCTTATTTGGAAACAGAACCTTTGAAGATGTAATCAAAATAAAGTTTCTAGGATGGACCTGAATCCAGTATGATTGTCCTTATAAAAATAGAGAAGACATCCCTGTGAAGATGAGTATGCACAGGGGCAAGGTCCTATGATTACAGAGACAGAGATTGGAGTGAGGCAGCTACAAGCCAAGGTAGAGGAAACCTGGCCCTGTCACACCTTGATTGTGGGCTTCTAGCCTCCCAAACTGTGAGACAGTAAATGTCCGTTGTTTTTACATGGTTTTTTTTTTTCCGGTACCGGGAATCGAACTCAGGGCCTTGTGCTTGCCAGGCAGGCACAGTGCCACTGAGCTACATCCCTGGCCCAACAACTGTTGTTTTTAAACTCCCCAGTCTGTGGCACTAGGTTGAAGCAGCTACAGGAAACTAACACAAACCTCCAGGTGTATTCAGAAGAAAAGGAAGCTTGAGATTGTGCCATCTGTTCCCAGAATTAGTTCTGAGGGTCTCTGGAACCCCTAGACATGGACTTGAGGGAAGGAGGCAATTCAGGGACACAGGGGTAATTTAGAGGGCTCTGCCTTCTAGGATCACTGGCTAATGTAATCAGTTGTGCTTATGAATCCTTCATCAAGAAAACCAAACTCACTTGTAGGATATGAATTGGCAATGTTGTTTCTGTTGGCTTCACCGTGCCAGTCCTCAGCTCTATGAGAGAGGACTTCTGCTCTTACTGGCACACTGGTAACGCCTCTTCTGTTTTGGAGCAGCTGTAACAAACTGCTGTGGTCCGTGGTGGTCTAGCCGCCTTGGAAACCCTTGGCGACTTTCTGCAGCTATACTCTGCAGAGCCAATCAAGCAGGGCTTCTTCCAAGCTGTTTGGAAGAGGGGACTCCTCAGTGGTCATGCCCTTGTGCCTATCATGAAGTATTTCTTCAGAGGCCCAGGGCAGACTAGGAATTTTCATAAGTCTTGACATCAAATGCTCATCCTGGAGATCTCTGAGCTAGACTTGCAGCTCCAGCAAGAGAGTAAGGACTCCTGGGAGGTGGGAGACATGGCTGGGGTTTTTCTAAACCCAATCAAAACAATTACAACAGGGGCCGAGGATTTAGCTCAGTGGTTCCGCCACCTGCCTTGCAAGCAAAAGGACCTGAGTTTGATCCCCGGTACCAAAAAAAAAAAAAAAACAATTACAACAAACCTCCCATTGTCCTTTCCTTGGTATTATCATTCACAAAGAGGCAAAAATTGTGATATCAGTGGTTCTCTCCTAGTATGATTGTCTTTTCAATAGACTTAAAACCTCAAACTTTCTCAAAATGAACCCAGCCTGTGGGAATCTCTCTCATGTTTCATGTCTTCCCATCCTTCAACTACCCACACCCCAAATGATGCAAGAATGATGTCATACTCACAGATGTTAACTGGAGAAACTCCTTCTCCGCTCAGCCTGATTGGAGAGGGGAAAGAAAGGTTATGCTTGTGTCCAATAGTTTGTAGGTATTTGCAATGACAGTTTTGCAGTTATTTTAAATGCATTAAAAAACCTTTATTACTTTTATTGCAAATGTTATACAGGTTGAAATTATGTAAATGTTAGTAATATTAAAAATAACAATCTAATGAGTAGAATGATATGGAGTTTGAGGTTCATAGAAGTAAAACCTACAATTTCAGAAACACATTTTGGTTTAAACTATTCGGACACCTTAAAGAAATTAGAACTAATGACATACTGGCCATAATTGAAAAGGCAGGGCTTGTCCTATAACAGGATTTCTCTCTAACAAGGGACTATTGTCATGCCCTGGGCCAGCATAAAGGTTATTATAGGTGTGGAGGGGAGTCTGAGCAATAAAACTAACAGTAGCAACAATCAGTCTATTATTGTCCAAGCAATTGGCATTCATCACAAACACACATTTAGAACTTTAACAAGAGCTAACATTATTGAGTACCTGTTACCTACATCATCCCACTTAGTACTCTCAATAACTCCATCAGGTAGGTATTATTATCTCAATTTTGCAGAGGAGAAATTGAAGCTCAGAGAGGTTAATTAACTTGCCCATGAACACAAAGCTGGATTTGAAGCCAGGTTCATCTGACCCCAAAGTCCATGTCTTTGGCCACTATACTGACTCAGAGTTAACATTTGCTGAGCAGTTGTTGCATAAAATGCGTTGTTCTAAGATCTGCACGTATATTCTTTTTTTTTTTTTTTTTTTGGTACCAGGGATTGAACGCGAGACTTTGTGCTTGCAAGGCGGGTGCCAGAACCACTGAGCTAAATCCCCACCCCATCTTATTTTAACCCTTTTAATAACGTATGACAGCAGAACTATCATTATTCCATTTTATACGTGCAAGCACCAGGACATGGCGCTTGATGAGTAATTTTCCCTTGGTTACAAAGATGGTAATGTGCAGAACACCAAGCTGCCACTAAGATTTGGGGATCATGTAATCTGGATCTTTCATTTTTTTTCACTGAAGAAATTAAGCACTGGAGGCTGATTTTTCAAGCCTATGTATCCAGGTTGTGGTGGATAGGTGAGCCAAAATACTAGGGCGCTTTATTCTTAGTCCAGAGCATTTTATGCCACATTTCAAGACCTGCTGGGTAACAAATCTCTCCTTTGATAGGATGTGATCACTTAGACCTGCTCAGATCTTAGATTTCTTGGCATGCTAAATACAGTACCCCAAAAGATTTACTAGCCCAGAAAGATATTGCACCTCTCTTCCATGTTATAGCCCCATTCCACCTGAATTTTCTAGTAGAGGAGAAGGCCGCGGCAACCCAAGCCCCTTGGAACACCCATGCAGTGGGGGAGAGCTCAACTTGTATGGAGGATGCAGTTGGTGCCTTTGGCCCTCACCTGCACTCCTCGCCCTCCAGCAGCTTGCGATAGGTGGCGATCTCCACATCCAGGGCCAGCTTGACATTCATCAGCTCCTGGTACTCACGCAGCAGCCGGGCCATGTCCTGCTTGGCCTTCTGCAGGGCCTCCTCCGGGCCCACCAGCTTGGCCCGTGCATCTTTCAGGGCCAGCTCCCCACGCTGTTCAGCGTCAGCAATGGCCGTCTGCAGGCTGGAGCACTGGAAGGAAAGGAGGAAGCCATGACTCTTACAGTCAGCCTCTGGAGGTGTGGGTGGGCTACTTCTGGGGCAGAAGTCCTTGAAGACAGAAAGACCCAGAACAAGTGAGTATCAGAGGAGCTCTTGGCCTTGCTAAAACTCTACCTGCTTCTTGACGCTGTCGATCTCTGCTCTCAGCCTCTGGATCATCCGGTTCACCTCAGAGATCTCTTGTTTGGTGTTGCGGAGGTCATTGCCGTGTCTGCCCGCCGTGACCTGCAGCTCCTCATACTGATAGGACCAGAGCAGACCCAGTCACCTAGTCAAGTGCCTGGCCTGGGCACACTGTATGGTACAGGCAGCCTACTCAACCCTTGGTCACTTACTCATTCTTTCACTCATTAATTCAGGAGACCTTCTTTCCTTCCTTCTTTCCTCCCTCCCTCCCTTCTTTCCTTTCTTGTTTTCTTCTTTCAACACTGGGGATTCAATCCAGGGCTTTTGCACTGAGCTACAAGCCCAGACCTTTTTAAAATTTGAGACAGGGTCTTGCTAAGTCAGTAAGTTGCCCAGGTTGGGCTCAGACTTGTGATCCTCCTGCCTTAGCCTTCCAGATTTCTGGGATTATAGGCATGTGCCAGCATATTCAACTTAGATGGTATTTCTTGAGTGCATCTGCTTGTTGGGAGGCAATAGGTTTCAAGAATACCACGATGAGCAGTCAGGCCCCTGTTCCCCTAAAACAGTGGTGGCGAACCTATGACATGCATGTTGTAGAGTGGGCTGTTTGCTATCATTGAAATCTCTAAAAGGTTTGCCATCACTAGTCTAAGGGTTACATTTTCCTGGGGGAGATAGACCCTAATAAAATCAGTGCATTATTCAATATATTGTTCCAAAGAGATTTAAGTGGCCCTTAGGAAAGAACAGAGCCCTTGAGAGTGTCATATAGGTGTCTGGCCAACTTGCAAGTGGGGAAGGGGTGGTAAGAGAAGTCTCTCCAGAGATGGAGATGCTCAAGCTGTGGTCTGAAGGGTGGAAAGAGGGGCCCAAGTGGCCAGTTTAAGGGGAGAACATTCCAGACAGGGAGAATAGCTGGTGAGAAGACCCTGGGGCAGGAGGGAACATGGCAAACTCTAGAAGTAAGGAGGTGACATAGCCACTGTTTCTGGGGAGTTCCTGGTCTTGGGCATGTGTCCAAACCAACTGTGCCCATGAATTTTGGTAGCTCTTCAGATATTGGTGCTGGAGACACATGGAGAAGAGGCAAGGAAATGGTATTGCGTGGTGTAGAAGTTGCAGGTGGCAAAAATGGGACCTTTGTGGGAATGTTCCTGGTCTCAGTGGCTGTCAGTCTAGTGGTACACATGTAGGACACACTCATTTGGAAGAATTACTGTGCCCCATCTCCTCTGGAAGACTGGAGTGAAATCCATACCTTTCCCAACAGAAGGAGAGCCCTGTCTGACTCAGGATCTGTCCAGTTTTGAAAGTACTGGACAAATTGTCTTCCTCTGGCTCTAGACACTCAGAATTAGAAAAAACAACAGCCCCCAAAACACAAAGAATCATTCAGTATTCATTTCAACCATTTCTCCTTGGGGTTAAGTGCTTCCTGCCTTTGCCCACTGTCATAGAGCAGCTCTGTGGACCCCAACACCTGATACCCTCCTCCTTTCTACATTTTGCTGGCCAGAAGGGATGAAGGCAGCACCAAGGGTAGGGCAAGGGACAGGGGCTAGCTTGTAGGTGACCTGTATTTGGCAGGGAGCTGACCTCTTTGGTCTACTACACCCCAATACAGCCGAAGCTCTTTCTGGCCATTAGAGCCCCTGGGACAGAAACTCTCCCAGATTCAAACTCAATTGCTCCACAAAGTGCACATTCTTGACTTTTGGCTGCTTGCTTAGCCACAAACATTTCTCCTTCCCTTTCGCTTTCCCAATCTTTGTTCTACTGGGCGAAAGACTCACTTCTTCTGGGAAGCGCTTTACTAATGCTGTCTTTTCCTCTCCCATGACTGCCCTTTCATTTCATGGCCTCCCAAACCTTGGGTTCTCTGTTGCAGTTTACTCATTTCCAACCTTGTAACCACATTTGGCAGATGGTAAGAGTTCAGCACATCTGTTGAAATTAATAAGCCTTTTAGAAACTGTCTCAGGACTATTTCTACAATACCAGTCCACTCAGATCATTAGCAGTGTGGCAACTATGCGTGACCCTCTGAGCACCCAGCAGTGTCTTGCAAACATATTAGTGTATTGGCTAGGTTTCCATATGCCCATCAAGTTAGGTTTTCATAGCATCAAAGATGCTCCTGCCACGTTGAAGGAAATAGAAATGCTCCCATGTTTCCTGAGTGAAGCCATGGTGTGGTGCCTCAGAGAACACTGACCCTGGAACTGAATGGAAGTGCCCACATTTACCTTGGACTGGTACCAAGACTCAGCCTCAGCCCGGCTGTGGTTGGCGATGTCCTCATACTGGGCCTTGACCTCAGCAATGATGCTGTCCAGGTCCAGATTTCGGTTGTTGTCCATGGACAGCACCACAGAGGTGTCACTGACCTGGGTCTGCCTCTGGGACAGCTCCTGCAGGGCATCAACTCAGTGTTACCCAGGCACAGAAGAAGAGGTCTTGAGCCCCTGTGGTAACTAACCACCTAGGTGAGGAATCTCTTCCTTGGTATTCTTAGTAGATTATTCCAGCTGTCCCCTGGGAACTCCCAGGCATTGAGGGGATCCCGTTTCATCCCAGGAAGTTTCTGGACCATTGATCAGTGTGCTGGGAGAGTTTCCCTGACATCACCTCTCCAGTCTCCCATCTATGTGCTTTCCCTGAGTGTGATGGTGGTTAAGTGTCCTCCAGATCCAAGTCACATAGACTTGAGTATGACATATGTTTTTTCATATGTTAGCATAAAAAGTGTCTTTAGGATCAGGTGATATTCAGGACTCTGTTGTCCTTGGATAGTATGACTTCCCTTCCTCCCTCTCCCTTTCCACAGATCCACGTATCTGCCAGACTGAGGCATTTCAGAAGGTAGGAAGCACTCAGCCAATGAGCTGAGGGGCACCTGTCCCTTTCAACTTTTTGGTGGGTGGCAGGTGGTTCTTGAGTCTTTGGGTATGCTACCCAGTGACCTAGAATTTCAGAATCAGCAGCCTTTTCCTGCTAGGGTTGCCCTGCCATGGGAGGAGGGAGAGGTCTCAGAGCTGGGGCTACCCCCTAAGTCCAGCTTGGAGGACACAGGCCAAGATTCTGAGCAGAGGCACTCCATGAAAGACACTCTGCAGCATTCTTTTCTTTCTAGGATCCAGAGAGGACAAAAAAACTTGCAGACTCTTACCACCTCAAAGATCATCTGGTAGAAGTTGATCTGGTCAGTTAGAGCATCGACCTTGGCCTCCAGCTCCACCTTGTTCATGTAGGCACCATCCATATCCTGGAATAACACAAGAGGTTCCCCTGAGATCCCAGCCCCAAACAATCATCCCAACAGGAGCTGGGCAGAATACTGCCTGGCCCTTCTAGCTTGGGTTTTAGAAAACTCAGTACTGGGGGTTTTCGGGGCGGGGGACTGAGACTGGGGACTTGAGTCACCTGGGGCGACAGAAACCCGAGCAGGGTCAGCACAAGGCGAGGGGCCACAACATTCTGGAAGGTTTGAGCTCTTTGGATAATCTTAAGGTTGATGTGACTTTTTTGAGAGGCCCAAGGATCAGTCTTCTCCCTGACTCCAAGATTCAATATTGTTTCCTTTGAGAGACATTTCCTCTCACCTTTTTCAGGGTCACAAATTCATTCTCAGCAGCCATGCACTTATTAATTTCATCTTCACACCTGTAAGGACAGGGGTGAGGGAGAGGGTGTGCTATTGAGCAAGTCTTCCATGCAACTCTTCCAGGCTGGTGTACCAAGAGCTGAGAGACATCAAAGCCTTTCTAGCTCTTCTGTGGACCTGCATGTGACTCTGGGTGATTCACTTAACCTCTATCTTCCTCTATAAAAGAGGGCTAATTTCTTCTGAGAGTTAAAAAAAAAACTTTTATAAGCCTAGAAGGTGGAACTGATGAGAACAGAAGTATGTCTTAGGCAATTTCATCTCTTTAGAGATGCACAATTAATTCTAATTGTTCGAAAGCTTGCTGCCTCAAGCATCTGCTCTAATAGCAGAGTGAGTTGTGTTTGTTCAGCACACTGTTCTAAGTAGACATTGACATATTTTCACTGGACCTCTGGGTGGCTGAGGAGCAGTGTACTTTTTGTAATGAGGTATAGCTCCAACTCAGAAGCCGAGGGTGTGCTAGCTAAGGGTTAGCTAGGGAGGCCTTCCACTGGCTGCCTGCCCTACTGCAGCCCAAGTGATGTGAAGCACAAATTTGCCACCATGAAGAAGATCGGATAGTCTTGTTTAAACCCCTACTTCTTTCTTCCTATCTCTTCACACTGAAGCTCATGTCATCTTGGAAATGTAAGCTATCCCAAACCCCGAGCTCACATCCAGTGAAGTTAGATGTTATTGGCCAAAGTGAAATAATATGCTTCCCAGAATGAGTTGCAGTGTTTTGTTAGATGTGCTAGTATCACTTTGCAGCCATATACACAGATAAGAATGAGATCCTTGTTAATAGATGAAGCTCCCTTTGTCACTCTACACATGCTGTCTTCTCCTTATGGGCTCATGAGTGCAAGGTCCAGAGCTCTCATTTGACACTGGTGTTGTTCCTCTGTACATCTCTGGCCCTCAGAAAAAGGAGCCCTGGGGCAGCTGTGTGTGGCCAGAAGCCTGTCTCCACTCACCTGATTTTGAAATCTTCTACAACCTCCTGCATGTTCCTCAGCTCAGCCTCCAGCCTGCCCCTCTCTGTGGTGATGCCATCCAGCTGCCGTCGGAGGTCATTGATATAGGTGTCAAACAGGGGTTCTAAGCTCTGCTTCACAGTCCTGGAGCCCTGCTCCTGCAGGAGGTTCCACTTGGTTTCCAGGACCTTGTTCTGTTGCTCCACGAAGCATACCTGGAGGGGAGCAGAATGAATTTTTGGGGGGATATTTCTGGAAATGGAACCCAAGCCTTAAGCATGCAAGGCAACACTCTACCCTGGAGCCACACCCCCAGCCTGAGTATGAATCTTAAGCTAGGGAGACAGAGCCAGACACTTGTATTAACAAGAAGGCAAAGAAAAAGATTTTTTTCACCCAATGGCCAACTGGCAGCTATGTAATTGACAATTCTACTCCCAATGAGGAAGCCATGAAGCTATCTAAAGTCCCTTAGGGCTTTCATGGAAGTGGTGTAGGGGACCCAGAGCCTTCGGTGTCTGAGCTGAGTTTCTCAACACCACCTGCTTGGTTAGGGGTAATTGGCTCAGTGGAAGCTGCTCTCCTCTGGACGTTGACTCTGAACAAACCCATTGTCTCCCAGAGACGGTGAGGGGCCTCTCCCCAAGGTCCTATGGGCTAAGCTTGCCTGACTTGAAAATGCCTCACCTACCGCCAGGCCAGTGCTGGTAGAACTGCCACATCTCCCCTGGGGCCCTTTGCCTCAGTGCTTTCCCATCTGGGCTGGACCTTCCCCAGAGTGTATTCATCCCCACACATCGGGACAGATGAAGTGCTTGTCCCACCTTGTCGATGAAGCAGGCAAACTTATTGTTGAGGGTCTTGATCTGCTCGTGCTCCTCTTTCCGCACTCGCTGGAGGCTGGGGTCGATTTGAAGGTTGAGGGGAGTCAAGAGACTCTGGTTGATAGTGACCTCTTGGATGCCTCCAGAAGGGCAGACTGGGAATCCAGGGCCACCAAAGCTTCCTCCAATACCAGGCCCATGGCCAAATCCATTGCTGATCCCAAATCCAGTACTAGCCCAGCCACCAAAGCCACTTCGGAAGCCGCTGCTGAACCCACCAATGGCTACCCGCTTGGTCCCCCCAAGGTTGTAGAGACTACGGCTTCCAAAGCCAGCCCCAGCACCATTGATCCTGCCCAGTCCCCCGCTGCCACCTGTGGAGCGGGCCACAGAGACAGAGCTGAAGCGGGAGCGCCCTGCTGCAGGTGTGGTGGCTGAGGTGGTGCTGAAGCCCCTGCGGCTGCCTGAGTGGAAGGTGATAGTGGACTGCCGAGACATGGCGGGTGAGGAAAGCTGGCAGGGAGCTCCTGAGGTAGGCGTGAAGGGGATGGAGAAGCCAGGCAGCTAGGGAGCTGTGGGGCTCTCGGGATTTATGGGGTTCCAACAGGGGCGGGGCACAGTAATGAAGGGGCCTCGCTGATGGCATCCCCTAGGCATCCACCAGCCCTGAGCTACACTCAACACCCCCTGAGAAAGGCCAAAAAAGGCCACTGGTTGGTTCCCTGACTGCCTCCCCCATGTGGAAACTCTTTTCCAGTTGCAACTTGATCAGCAGACCAATGAGAAACATGTTAATTGCTCTCAGTCATGTCCTAATCATGCATCTCCTAATGGACTCAAAAAACACTGCTTCAGTTCTAAACTGCTTTCTTAGGCCTGGGACCAACTTCCTCCTGTCCAAACATCTTGTGTCAATACAAGCCAGTGGGATTCACTGTTTCCTGTTCTGTGGTATACTTCCAAAGCCTGAGGACGTTCTCAGCAGCTACTGCCCTTCTCCCAACCCCATCAGACTGGCCCTCCTAATTGTGAAAATCCTGCAGGCTGGGCACTTCTCTTCCTCAGCATCCACGCAGGGTCAACTGCCCCTTTCTTTGGCTCTGAAGCTTCCCTGTGTGTTGTGTAAGTCACATGCGATTTTTTGGAGGATGAATGTGTATGCACATGTATGTGGTATGCTCTGGCTACTGCAATAGAATGTGACTGTCAAGGCCAGCCAGCCTCAGTTTTCTGTGGCTAACAGGTGGGAAAGTAGAAAGACTTGGGTTTGGATCCCAGCCTCACCAATGACCAGCTGTGGGACCATGGGCACATCATGCAACTTTTCTGAGCTTCAGTTTGTGTTCTTATAAAATGGGGTCTTTGATGAGTACTCAGGTGTGAAAACTGCTTCTGCAATCCTTAACCATGGAAACACAGAGTCCTTGCGCCTCCTGATCTATTCAAGCGAGGATTAATGAAGGGTCAGCTGCGTATTTGTCCTGTGTCAAGTCTTTTGGGGACTCCAAAGAAACATAATGCATTCATTCTATTCCTTTGGTAATAAATTCACAGTCCTTTGGAGGGAAGATGCTAAATAACTTTGGAGCAAGATGGTAGGCATCAAAGCACCACTTCCAAGCTGTCTTGAAGGCCACCTTCTCCCAGCAGTTTCCTAGGCCATCCCCTCCTCCTTAGGGCTGGGCTCTCCATATCTTCTCTCCCTCACCAAATGAACTCTCAGGTTGCTGTCCAGTGGAGGATTGTTTTTATCCCTTACCCCTGGAACCATTTATCTTCCTGCCTGTAGTGTGTATTAAGTACAGACTGACAGGAAGCCTACAGGAGCTCCCTCTTTTTCTGCATTTCTTCTACCATGGAGGCAGTCAGACAGCAATTAGCTCAGTTTTCTTTGCTTTCATGACCTCTTGCTTTTGGTTTTAAATGGGAGGGGGATGGAAATGATGTGTATTCAGTCTCCATTGTGTGGATGAAGAAAGGAGACCTAGATTGATTAATTCAGTAGACTGGCCACACAGCCTTGTTGGTGAGAAGCAGAGCCAGAGCTACAGTCCTACCATGCTGGTGTCTTTGGAGAGGCACATGGGGAGCTGGTGGCTGGCAGACACTCGCATCTACTTGGAATGGGAACGTGGTACTCAGAATGGCAGTTCCCTATCCCCTGAGCAGTCTTTTCCCTGGGGTTCCGGCCAGGGGCTGGGCCTCTCCTGCAGCAAGAGGAGAGTTGCCTGAGAGTCTCAGTTTGCACAGGGCACCCATGAATCACAGCGTTTGTTGACTCAGGTCAAGAAAAGCAAAGGAATTCTCTCACCTGGTTGTCAGAGAACCTAGGTCCCAACCAGGGTGGTGCATGCTTGTCTTTTTGAGCAGAAAGAGTATAAACATCTTTTTCCTGCACTCTTCATGACAAGATAATCTGTATCCCAGCAGAAGGGACAATTGTTTGCTTCTTGAATGTACTGAGTGAGCCCCTGAAGAGGACTCTGCAGATGAGAAGTGGTGAGGATCAGGCACAGGGAGCTGCTTGGCTGACTGCCCAAGGGAGGATAGGGAACTGCCCACAGGTGGGTGAAGACGCTGCAGGCTGCTTCTCTTCTGGCCATCCCTTCCCTTCCCATGCCCTCTCTTGAGAAGCTCATTTCTAGGCACTGTCATCTCATTGCTTCCATTCCTGTTTCTCACAGCCACCACCTCTGCCCTGGGGATGCCCTCTTACTTTTTCTTCCCCTCCTCTTAATGTTCCCACCAGGATTGAGGTTTCTTATTGGTTCATAGATGTTGGTGGGCTACATGAAGATTGATAACTCTTTCACCTCTCTTTCTTCTTCAGTCTCTCTCCTGTGACCTCTGACTTGCACTGTGACCTTTACCCTAGAGGACCATGAGTGCTTGAGACACCCAGCCTTCCTGAAAACCTGTGTCATCACCCCCTTTATTTTTATTTATTTTATTTTTGTGGTTCTGGTGATCCAACCCAGAGCCTTGCATATACTAGGCCCACCCCCATTAAAATTTCAAAACTTAGTATTAACATTTTCTTCTTTGTTTTGCTTTTTGTTGTTTTTAACTTTCTCTGTAATTCTGCTTAAAACCAACTCCCAGGAAGCCTTCTCAGATGAAGTGGCCCAAGTGCAAACCCCTTTCCACCTGTCCCTCAGGACACCTGTGTTTGGCTTGAGCTGCAGAGTGCTGGTTTCTCTGGTGGTTGGGGTGCTAGCCCACCTCTGAGGGTTGGGGTGATTTTCCTCCCCTTGATGTGCCTCCTGAGCTGCCTGCATAGAACTGTGGTAGAAATCCATGTGACAGAGGGTGTCTAATGTGAAGGAGAGCTACACATTCCTTCTTACTCTCTAAGCATTCTTGAGCCTCTCCAACTTGGGTCTGGCTGAGAGGAGTGACCTTGAGGTTTGAGGGAGTGACGGATTCAAGAGCATTGTGTGTGCTCTGGGCTGCAAGCCTGCGAAGGCAAATCTTTCAATTTCCCTGGTGCCTGTCCTTCCTGTTCAGGGTGAAGGCCATTGTCCTGAGAGGCACACAGAAGTCCTTGAGAGGTAGTTGGTTTCAAGAGGGCTGGGCCAGGTGGTGATGGAGGCTGTGTCAGTGTGGGGAGGAGAACAGCAAGTTGAGGATGTACACATCTTAAGGAGGAAGAGTTGGGGGTATCAGGGAGCCTTGGCTTCCAACTAGGCCAGGACCAGAGGAAGAATCTGGGTAGAACACAGAGAGTGAAGGAGGTTGGTTCCCTAGGGCCAGCTGGTCTTGGACAAGTGCTTGAGTATCCAGGCCATAGCCATCTGCCTCCCATTGCTCAATACACTAGCTCCCTCTTGGACTTCTGTTCCTTTTTGTAAGAGACTTGGGTTTAGTGATTAACGATTAATACCACTTGCCTGCCAGGTTCTCACTGTTCTAACAAGGAGATACAGTTGTAAGCAAAGCAGACAGAGCTCACTCTGGAGGAGAAGTGGAGCTGAGGGGCTTTGGAAGTACAGTCACACCCCGCTGACACACTCTCGGACTGCGTGGGGAGGGTAGTTCTGTTGTGGTGGGACTGGAGACAGCCTAACCTGAAACAATTTCCTACTTGGACTGTTGGTGGAGTCATGCTTCCTTAATCTTTGCAGTGTCTACTGGGCACCACCAGCCCGCCTTGAAAGGGCTCAGATTTTCCTCTTTGCACTCCCCTTGCTACTGCATTCAGTGATGATAATTGTCCTTCAAAGGGCACTAGAAGTACCATTTGATCGCAACAGTCTATCAATGTCTAGGACTTGGGACGTCCACCTACATGCGGCCAACTCACCCACTGTGCTCCTTTCCACTGGTCATGAATCAGGTCTTCCACAAGGCCTGGCCCTATGGGTGGGTTCAGGCCTCTTGTACACAGGCCAACATCTCCCAAGATCCTGCTGGGCAGTCTTAGTGGCAAAGTGATGTGCTTTTGTGCTCTTTTCGTACAAACTTGTACTTAAAACAAGAAAGGTGGAGCTATCCCTTCCTTCCATGATCAAGTGTTTCAGACATACCCAACAGATGTGATGCTGCAAAGTTCAATACAGACACATGCATCTTAAGAGCATTCACAAAACAGCAATCTACAGGTGGGTGTGATGCCAACTGAGTGCGTCAGGAAAGAAAAGTGAACCAAAGGAGCAGAATTAGTCTTTTAAAGCCTGGAAGAACTTCCAGATGAGGAAGATCAGAGAGGGGACAAAACTGTGGCCAGCCACACAGATATTTGGAAGCTGAGCCAGAGCTCCTGATCCTTTCTGCTACCACACATTTGCCCTGGGCCTCCCTCAACTTATAGAGACCAGAAAGTAAAGCTCTTTGTTGCCTGTGACACAAAGCTGGGGTCTTCCTTGGGGGAGGCATGGGCGAGATGTCATCATCTCAAGGGCTCTGCCAGTGCATTCCACAGAGAGCAACAGGAGGGATTTAGAGAAGACAGGATTCCGGGTGTCTTTCCCAATCACTTGTGACCCTGCAATGGTCTCATTGGGTTCCCAGAATTAGGGTGCTTTGTCACCACATCCCTGGTTTGTGCAGAAGTAGAGCTGCCAAATAGGGAAATTGGTGCGAGAAGAAAGTGGGGGAGGGGCTGGGGATTTAGCTCAGTGGTTCCACCGCCTGCCTTGCAGAAAGTGGGGGAGAAATGAGACACATCCTAGCTCTTCTGCAGAGGTGGGGACCCAGAGGTCTTGTATGAATTAAGGAGCAAGAACTCTAGAAACCCAGGACCATGAATGCTGGCAGGAAGCATAGCCTGTGGGCACAGATTGGGTGATACTGGGGTGCTGAGGGATGCTGTTGACACCACCTCCTTGGCTTGTGACTGGTCTGGAGGTTGCTGCTGAGGGTTGGGGTATGCGTCACCAATTGGGAAGTGAGAGCTGGAAGCAGTCACCTCACCCCCGACAGGCCCGGCAGTGCCTTCGTGTTCATGAACTTGGACATCCCGAAAACTCCTTCCTTCTTGTTGCTTTCTAGCCTCCTTT